TCACAAGTTGCCTTGTAGTGATTGTCACCTGCACACAAAACAAAAATATTACAGTCTTCCAGGATGTGTCCCCAAGTATCTGGGTACCTATCGATCAAATTGTATGGCCTCAAATCCCAGAACACAATATGTGAGATCCTACAGTCTCTTAGTGTGACTAAGGTATCCTGTCATTCACCTGACTGCCTCTAGGCAAATAGCAGGAAAATATTCCAGATTAGACCATAACCACTTTCTTCCACATCCTTTTCAATTCATTAATCATTCAACATGTTATCATCTCACACTGAGGCACTATGCTACAAGCCAGGAGACTGTGGGTTCAATTTCCAATCAGATCATTGGATTTTTTAATTTACCTAATCCTTCCAAACGCACTATGTCCCTGGGTTCAACTCAGCCTCTAATGGAAATGAGGACCAGGAATCTTCCTGGGGGTTTAGGGTGACCAGCACGTAAGGTGACAACCTCACTGCCATCTGTGAACCGACTGTCTAGAAAATGTGGGAGCCTCAATGTCTAACAACCCTATGGGCCTCCACAGCCTGTTATAGGGATAGCTTTATGTTTTCTTCTTGTTTAATCTCTCATGAATAGTCTGACTGTAGTTAAATAAATAAATAAATAAAGTGGCTGGTTTAGAACTGAAACATTGCGGGGAAAAACAAAACAAAAAAAAAATAAGAAAAAAAANTGGATAAGTAAGCACCTGAAGATGGCATTATTATGCCGAAACATGTAGTGCGAGGGAGAGAAGGAGATGAATGAGTGTATGCACTGCAAGACGGATTAAATAAATCATGGACTTAAATCAGTGCAACAGGACGCTAAAATATAACAATGGTGAAATGATGATTATCAGAGGAAAACTAATGAAACCTGGGGAAAAACAGGTAGTTACATATTAGCATCTGATCTAAGTAATTTTAAAAGTTACCACCATGTTGTTCACCTCGTCAGTACTGCCAATCTCAGAAGATCACTTGTAAAAATAAAACCCAAAGCCTAACATTAAAATTTGCCTCCAACAAGCTTAATCTTTTTGTTTTGTCTTTAAGAGGTTAGGCCTCTGGTTACATTTTGAAAATGAAAGGTTTTGGTTTTGTTTTAAAAAATATATATATATATAAACCTTCTAAGGTTAGGCTATGGGTTTTTTTTATAGAACAAAAAACTTCCAGCAACACAGCAAGCCACGAACAAACTCTGGACAATGAAGAAAGTCATCTTCTTGGTTTAGGCGCTGTGTATTCTTTGTTTTGGCTGACGTTCCTCCGAAACATCGGCCAAAACGAAGAATACACGGCGCCTAAACCCAGAAGACGACTTTCTTCATAGTCATCGCCGTGAAAACCTCAAAACTTACAAACTCTGGATGACATCAAGAACCTCCTCATCAAGATAGACAGGCAGCACAAAATCTGCCCCATACAAGGATGACGATAGGAGTATGGACACGAACCTACGTGGTTTAAAAAATTTTAACTATTGACAATAAAGGTTTTTTAAATAACATCTAGAAACTCTTAAAAACTTTACAACACCAGGAAGCTGTTGTGATTGTTAAACTTTCGACTTTATGGGTATTGTGCATTATAGGATACAAGCATACGTATTTTAAATCAAAACGCCTATTGTGATGGTAGTTTCCAGTTTGTAATGATCTTCCCTCTGAAGATGGCCCATAAGGACCGAAACATGTAAGGGAGATAAGTTTTAACATAGTAAAAACTTATGTGTCACATTGGATGGAGTGGTTTGTATTTACATTCAGTGCCATTTCATGCACCGTGAATCTCACACGAACTCACCTGGAGTTGAACCCAAGGTCCCCACTGTGAGAAGCCAGCATCTAACTGCCTAAACTATGATACAGTTATACTAATTAAAATGTCACAGAAAAATATAAATACTTCTTCCTTGTTGAATGTCTTCTCAGGGAATGATGGCACGTAATATTGAACTGGTTTATCCAAGTCTAACTTTCCGTCCTCCCAGAGTTTGGCGACTACAGCCATAGTCATGCTTTTGCTGATGCTGGCAATCCTCATCACCGTGTCGGGGTGACATGGCACCCGATTTTCCACATCTGCCATGCCCAAACCTGAGAACTAAACAGGCTCAGCAAAAAACACAATCTTAAGCTTCTTTATAAAAAAGTGGTTAAAGTGAAGATTAGAGCTAAGAGCTCCCCTATAAAGTAGTGTACTCAGGGCCGCGCAATAGCTCAAGCGGTTAGTTGCTGGTTTGCCACCGCGGCGGTCCAGGTTCGATCCCGCGTCTGGTCAAGTTGGACTTGTGGTGGACAAAGTGGCGCTGGGGCAGGTTTTCTGCGAGTACTTCGGTTTCCCCTGCCAATCTTCATTCCACCAATTGCTCCACAATCACCCTCACCTATCATCTGGGGCTGGTACAACAGGCCAGAAGTGGCTGCAGTACAAGGGACTTAGTCCCACCCCACTAGCAATAAAAAAAAGTAGTGCACTACTCAGGGATCACGCAACTTAGCACAAAAGTAGTTCAACAATCCAATTCACCACAACAATTGTCCTGCCAGGAGTTCTAACAATCTGATCCAACATAACAACTTTCCTTCCGGTCTTTACAATCTGATCAATATAATCTGCATTCCAACTTTCCTTCCCCATCTTCTGTTATAAGCTATTACTCTTATACCTGGTTATGTCTAGTTAGGTCTGAGTGCAAACAAATGTTAAGGGTGTGGTATCTGTAGGCCGCGCCACAGCTCAAGCGGTTAGTCGCTGGCTTCCCACTGCAGTGGCCCGGGTTTGATCCCGGGTCTGGTCGAGCGGGATTTGCGATGGACAAAGTGGCGCTGGGGCGGGTTTTCTCCAAGTACATCGGTTTCCCCTGCCAATCTTCATTCCACCAATTGCCCCATCATCATAATCACGCAGGGCAGGCTACAATAGGCCAATCAGTGGCCACCGTGCTGAGTGGACCCAGTTGGACTCCACCCCCCACTAAGCGAAATGGTATCTGTACTGTGATGTGGTGCTGTCTGGTACACAGGTACCAAAGGTTTGGAAGATCTTAGTGCCTTATCTTCAGAGCATTTTATTATTATTCTATTACTATTATTCTATTCTATTATTACTTCTTCCTTATGCCATTACATCTATAGTAGGCTAAAGCCTTAGATACAGAATTGTGTCAATTTATCTTGCTAATACTATCACACAATTGTCAGAAAGACTTATAATATATGATAATGTTTGTTTACATCATAATACAATTTTCTCTAGCAAAATACACTCAAAATTATCATTTAAAATAAAAATTTAAGATAAGAGTTTCCGTCAAACGTAACAGAATATTTTTGTCATACAGCTTTAACATATACAACAATTACAACATATAAAAACATTCAATTATAAGTATGGTTATCGTACATTCATGATGATTATCCATTTACTGTACTACTCAACATCTTATATATTTAAATAGTTGTATAATCATTATCTCTTAAAAATTCATCCAGTGTATAAAAAGAATTTAAATAAAGAAATTCCTTTAAATTGTTTTTAAACTTATTTATATCATTTGAAGTTACTTTAATTTTATTAGGTAATGCATTATAAATCCTTACGGCCATGTGAATTACACCATTACCATATTTCGCCAAATTTACCTGGCTCTTATGTACATCCATATTATGTCTAGTATTTATTTCATAGCGATCCCTATTTGTATCAAATATTTATCTATTTTTTTACTACAAACATCAGCAGAGAGTATATATACTGTGATCTTAAAGGAAATATATTCATATTCCTAAACAGTTCTCTGCATCACTCTCTGTAGCCACATCCTTTTATTATTCTTATAACTCTCTTTTGTATCTTGAAAACTCTTTCTGCATGTGTTGAATTACCCCAAAACATTACTCCATATGTCATAACAGAATGGAAGTATGAATAATAAACACTTTTTATGCTTTTACAGACACCACTGGTTTTACATTTCTTATCATATAACAAGCTGTATTTAATTTATTTATTATCTCATCTATATGTATATCCCAAGTTATATCATTTTGGATAGTCAGGCCAAGAAATTTTATGATTTGTATTTAATAAAACCGTTCCTATGCCTCCCATTTCTCAAACCACATTATTTTCTACAGTGAAGTTTATATATGTTTTCATTATATTAAGAGACTTTAAATTTGTTTAAACCAGTCCTCCAGCATCCTATATACTTCATTTATTGTATTTTTAAGTTTTATTGGATTGTCTTGTATATATATTGTTACATCTACCCTGAAGACATGTGCACCAGGTTCCTCTGAAATGCTAATCTATCTACTAGGGAACACGGTGTCACATCCCGGAAGACAATCATCTTAATGATAATGAAACTTTATATATTATAACCTACGAGTACATGAGATTTTTCATTTTGCTTTTCTTTAAGCCATAGTTACTTAACTCCTCAGAAGTTGGCGACACTTTTCTCTCAATAATCGGCTAAGTTCTGGAGGGGGACGAGACAGATATAACAAAACCTGCACGTGATATACCGTAAAAGAAAAAACACACAGTGCATTTAAGTAAAGTGATAATTCACCTTCCGCCCAAACAATTTTTCCGTTAATGCTGACACCTATTACAAGCCCAGGTGCACCAACTTCGTCCTTCTTCCTATACGCAAGGTCTCTGGCTTTTCTAATAGTATTCTGTAGAGATATATTTTGTTTCTCGTAACCTGCTGCACTGACAGAAGGACTTAAAAGAACATTACGTTCATTATTTTCTATTTCTTTTCGCACGTCTTGTGCGTTAGCTGCTTGAATAAACTGTAATTCATCATTACTGTCTTTCAAATACTGGTTCTTGAATCCACAGATCACGGCAAATGACCCAACAGCAGCTCCAAATACGTAGCCCACCTTCCTGTACATGTTTTATATAAACGGTTTAAAAAATGTTCCGACGCTTTATAAGTACTTTACTGTCGTAAATTACGCATCACTCATTAGTTGCCGCTCATTCACAGAGACACTGTAATTCATTAATTTCGAGTCTGCCATTTGAAGCAGGGATTAGTAGACCGCACCCTCTAAAACATCGACACGTACACGTGTCACTAGCGCATTTTTCATTAATACCTCATGCACATTTCACTCTCCCTAGTCAGTTGCGCGGGTTGGTTTAAAGCATTCGCTACATATAAAGAGTAATGTCATAAAATATAAAATCATAATAATATAACACCATTAGTACTGACACTACTGATCACACTTGCAACTAGTAATATTCACAAACACAGCACAAGAAGTGACGTATCATGCACGGTAACATGACAAGGTCATGAGGTAATGAGGAAAATTTCGATCACTGAACCATGCAATATATAAATGGAAGAACTTGCAATATGTTAGAAGCTAGATTATCCTTATTTGAAACATAAACAAAGGTGATACAATTGATACTATATATGGCTCTTAGCCATATTTTTTAGTACTATGCAAATGTATGTGAACTAAACTGCACCATGAATACACAGTCTGTGCCCTGTAAATGAAAACAAGATGTACCACTTAAAATCCAGCACAAAGTACAACATATGCAAGCCCATGGGTGACAACGATGTTGAATGATGAATTATAGTTTTTATTGTTTATTTGTGGGAACTTACATTACAGCTTTACTGAAGATTCTGAAACTGCCCCCCGCCTTTTTTTTTCAAAAACACATGTGCTTGTTATGCGTGTCATATGGCAACAGCCCGTTCAGTAGCGTTTTTTAGATCTAGGGTTATTTTACAACACTGCATCAGATATTCTGGTCATTATTCTGTCAACAGAAGTGTGAACAGTGAGAACCTAACCTCACAGTACAACTCAGGGAATGGGGGCCAGCATAGTGAGGAAGCTGGCATCGGCACTACTTGCATTTCTTAAAATATCAAAATTGAAAAAGGAAATATAACAAATATTAACAAAATTAAGTTTTATTTTAATTAGTAAAAATTGTCTTTCAAGTGTGCTTGTAAACAAATTTTCTGCCCAATTTTACAAAGCATTCTCTAACATTAGGATATTACAAGACAAACTTTCAGACACACACATACACACATATAAATATATATATATATATATATATATATGTATATCACCTAGTATTAGTGTCCCTGTGCTTAATTGAGCACCTTGCCATGCAGACATATGTAAGAGAGGAGGTATAGGTGCATCATTCTTGACGTTCTTGACCTTCATACTAGATGGTGGTAAGTGGACAGCTTTACATCCAACGTGTTTTACCCCCAGGGAGTGAGCCATCCTGTACCCAGAGCCAGTCTGAATGCTGTGAAGAACAAAAAAATCTGTTGCCTTGCCAGATATCAAATCCCAGTTTTCCAGCCTGTAGCAGATCGCTGTACCAACTGAGCTATCCCAGCTCCTGTTAAAGTACCAAATCACACTATAAAGTTTCAGGTTTTCATGGTGCTAAATGTTCATATCGTAGTTTTGTGTCAACAATGTGTTGTTTCGCAGGTGGATTCCAATGTTTCAGAGGAACCTCTTGGTCCCATACTCATGTTAAGGATGCTGAAAATTAGTAGACAAGTTGCAAGGAATGGTGGAGCTATACTGCACCTCCCCAAATGTCTTTACAGCTTGGTGTTTGCACCTTTGTGGTTGCTATGAAGGTAGCTACTCAGATCTTTGGCAGGGAGGGAGAGAATGAGTGGAGTCTAATCTGAAAACAAAAGAATCACTACTAGCAACCCAAACAGTTCACTGCAGGAGTAGGGACTGAATTGTGGGCCCAGACTAGGCCAACAAGAATCATGCACAGAAAAAGCAACAAAAACACGCATTATAAGGAAACAGATAGGTACAGTCAAGTTTACTGTAAGCTGGACATGTACTTGATGATACACACAAGAAATACATACAGAAATTTGGTAGGGAAACCTCTTGGAATACTAACAAGATGGCAGAAAACATTAAGACTGCATTTAAATGGCTCAGGGTGCATTCAGTGGTGAGCTTCAAGTTCAGCAATGTTACATCCTCAGGATCTACTACCAGAATTAATCTGCACATTACTACAGTTATCTTGGCTAAAAGTGTTTCTACTAGATCATACATTCTATACATTGTATGAGTTTTTCTTAGAGGGACCGTAGCACATGTAGCAAAACCTCTATTCAGCAATGGAAATGGATAAGAGATGGTTGCTTGCAGTATCTTCATGTGTTCGGTGATTGACATGGTCATATGTAAGACTCTTTTGATTTACTCTTGAGATTCTATTGATGAACTCTTAAGGTTGGCTTGCATTTTGATTTACATATTGTACCTAATTTGATTATTTACCTGGTTTGATATTGTGTTATATTTTAATTATAGGTTAACCATGTCAAGCATGATTGTATATTGTTGACAAATTCTAATCCTTTAGGCATTTGGGCAAAAGGCTTTCAAGAATGATGTATTTAATTATGTGACTTGTTTGAGTGTTACTGTTGTAGCAATTATGAATGCCAAATAAAAATTAAATGAAATGTTTTTAAACTGCGGTTTTCATGTGGTATCAAGGTAGCAAATGGCACCCACATATCAGATGCTATCAACAAACCATGACATTGTTTAAGACATCCCCAGTCACATACAGATATGCTTGAACACATTAAAATTTAATCTACATAAGGCACATTTAAAATATTAAGTTGATATTTGAATGCAAAATTATCACATGGGACAAACTAACATTAATTAAAGATAGAAGAGACATTTGCATTAAAGTTTTGGATGCATTTCTGAGACCTGTGGTTCTCACTGCAAAGCCCATGAAGAGTGCTGTGTTCTGGGATGTGATAAAATATATAGTCTGACAGACTACTACCAATGTTTCACAAACACCTGTTACCTCCATCCTCAGGGTAGAAAAGTCAAGCAAACTCAGCCTCTTCTTCTACCCCAAAATGGAGGCAGGTACTTGCTCCAAAATGACAGTAAAATCCTAACAGAACAAATCACATCTCAGAAGACACTAGTATTCCAAAGATTTTTGGTATCTTCCACAATAAAAATAATCGAAAGATAAGTAGTTTTAAAACACTTCTGAATGCATTATTCCCACGGGAGGACTACAGCCCCTCCATCAGCTTACCTCCTGCTTCTACTGGTTTCTTGATTGGCTTACCCTTCAGCACTGAACATTGAGGTGACATGTTGCACCAAGACATCATGCCTTCTCCAACCTACATACTGCTGTAACTCAAATATGACCACAAAAACCTCAAATCCAACATACTTCTGTACTGTCTTATAAATCTCTATTAACAGAATTTGATATGTGGAATATTAAGAAGTAAACAAGCAATAACAAATTTAGGTAGAATCTGAAAGCAGAAAACTGCAACAAGAAGTTGGTCATATCAATGTTACAGCCATAAAGATGTGCTATGAACAGAGAGCAATGGGACATTTTTCAGCACACTAAATGTTGTAAAACTTTTCGTTTATTTTCTGTAGTTTTTATTTCTTGATCCACACACTTCCACTTTTACATCCAGTAATATCATCTTGTATACGCACTAGCGTGCACGTGCGCATACGAAAAACCAACTTACCACCACATTGCCTGGAACCGTACTGGGACAGCCATGTGGTCAGAATGTACATGCGTATATAAGTATTGCCAACATATACACCAGAAACAACATGCGTATATTAGTATTACCAACATTCCCCCGTAATCATAGCATGTAAACTAAATAATAATAACCAAAAATATTATCGTACAATCACATGGGCACATAAATTCAATTTATACAATCAAAAGGTTTCATGCCCAATGCATCTAGCAAATATTCATGCTTCACTTTAGGTAAACTCTTTGTCATTATATCGGCCTTCATAATTTCTGTAGGCACATATTCCAGATCAATCAATCCATTCTGTACTACCTCTCTTACATAATGATATCGTACATCGATGTGTTTACATCTGGAATGAAATACTGGATTTGAGGCTAACTTGATACAACTTTGATTGTCAACATTCATCAAAATTGGAGAGTCATCATTTAATAGTTCCATCAACAGTTTTCTGAGAAAGACACCCTCCTTACAAGCCTCACTTAGAGCAATATATTCAGACTCAGTAGTAGAAAGTGCAACACTTTTCTGCTTCTTTGCCTCCCAAGAAATAGGTCCATTTGCTAATTCAAAAATGTTTCCCGAGTAAGACTTCCTATCTTCTCCATTAGCATAATCTGAGTCAGAGTACCCAACAATGGATTTTCCTGTCTTAGAATACACCAAACACAGGTCCTTAGTTTTTCTTAGATAACGCAATACATGCTTGGCACATTTCCAATGTTCAGCCGTGGCACAAGAATTGTATTGACCTAGGAAACTGGCTGCAAAAGCAATGTCAGGTCTTGCTATAAGAGCTAAGTAATTGAGGCAGCCAACCAAACTTTGATAAGAGAAAATCTCACTTAACTTATCAGAATTGTTTCTGTCTAGCTTACAACCAGCAGGAAGAGGTGTAGATACATTTTTACAGTTTATCATGGCAAACTTTTCCAGTATCTTGCATATGTATTCCTCTTGATCTACATAAATACTTCCATTCCTTTTCCTAATTCTCATACCTAACAAGTACTTAGTTTCTCCAAGATCTTTTAATCTGAACTTAGATCCTAGTTTCTTTACAAGTCTTTCTTTTTCAGAGATATCATTGGTTACAATTAAGAAATCATCAACATATAATGCTAAAACAGTAAATGAATCATCCATCTTTCTGTAAAACATACATGGCTCATTAACAGAAACTTCATAACCAAGAGTTACCAACTCTTTAGTAATAGTAGTATTCCATGTACGTGAAGCTTGCTTCAATCCATACAAAGCTTTGTTTAATAGACAAACTTTATTTTCCAATCCTTCAACAGTAAAACCCTCAGGCTGAGTCATGTATATTTCTTCTTCTAATTCTCCATTCAAGAAGGCTGTGCAAATATCAAGACTATACATCTTCAAATTTAACTCAACAGTCAAGGCTAACAAAAATCTTATTACAGATCTTCCAACAACTGGTGAATAAGTCTCATTATAGTCAATCCCATCAATTTGAGAAAAACCTCTAGCAACTAAGCGTGCCTTGTATTTGGGATCACTCTGTAAGTCCTTTTTAACTACATACACCCACTTACATGAGATAGCTTTCTTACCTTTGGGCAGCTCTACTAGATTCCATGTATTATTCTGAATGAGTGCATCATACTCCTCTTTCATTGCCCTTTTCCAATTATTTTTATCAGGTCCTCTAACAGCACTTGAATATGAATCTGGACAGTTGTCAACAAAACTTTCAACAGTCATGAAATTAGTTTCATAATCCTGCAACCACAATGGTGGGCGTCTAACCCTCATCATTGTACCTGGTTCATTCTCAACCTGTTGTACAGGAACTGCAAGTACATCATCAGTTTCAGCATCACTTAATACAGATGCAACCGGAGTATGATCACTCTCATTCAGATTTACAGTAGAGTCATCTAATACTTTTTCTGCATCAGGTTGATCCCCACTATCAGAGATCTCAGACCCAAAATAGCTAGGCTTGATGAAATCAGTAGATGCATTTACATTCTCTTCATCTACACTAGCCCTTACATTTTCCAAGAAAATGACATCTCGTGCAAATGTTACCGATTTAGGGTTGGACAGATCAATCAGTCTGTAGTTTCCAGACTTCTCACAGTATCCTACAAAACACATCCCCTTCGATTTAGAATCCCATTTAAGCCTATTTTCCTTTGGTACATGCATGTATGCCACACATCCAAATACTTTAAAATGGGATACATTAGTCTTTTCCCCAGACCAGCATTCCTGTGGCGTCTTATTTATCAAAGCTTTGTGTGGAACCCTATTTTTAATGTAAGTTGCCGTATTGATGGCTTCTGCCCACATTCGCTTATTACACTTTGCTTCACTCATCAGACATCTGGCCATCTCACAAAGACTACGATTAACCCTTTCGGCTAATCCATTTTGTTGAGGATTATAAGGTACTGTCACATGATGCTCTATCCCATTTTGCTCAAGATAATCAGAGAAATGTTTAGAAATATATTCCCCACCATTATCAGTTCGTAGGGCTTTAATAGTCTTCCCAACTTGATTCTCAACAAGAGCCTTGAAATTACAAAAAACAGTAAACACTTCACTCTTAGACTTTATGAAATATACAAAAACCTTTCTAGAGAATTCATCAGTAAAGGTAAGAATATACTTAGCTCCATTCCAGGACTCAACTTCCATAGGTCCACATAAATCTGAGTGGATTACGTCCAGTAATCCTTTTGCTTTACTCTTACGTGCCCTAAATGGTTTCTTTGCAAACTTGCCTTTTATACAAGATATACATGTATCCGGTACAGTGTCATTAAAACAAATACCTTCACATACTCCATTTTTAGCTATCTTCATACTGGTTGGATTAATATGACCTAACCTCTTGTGCCAGAGCTGATAATTTTCATCTTTATCAGTTTTTGCCAGGTTGACCCGTTCCATCTCCTCCACATCCATTTTGAACAGATTCCCAACCTTAGATGCAGTACCTAGAACATTACCTTTAATAGACATATTATGTTTACTATAAATCCTACAACCAGATTCCTCAAACACAACAACATGTCCTTTATCAACCAATTTACTCACTGACAACAAGTTTGTTCTGGCTTCTGGAACATACAGTACACTACTAATATTTGAAATAGAGTCATCATTCTTAAACTTTACCCGAACAGAGCCAGATCCTAGACATTCTAATTTATTTGTTCCCGTAGTGAACACTTCTACTCCAGTCATCTCCTTCTCTTTCTTAAACCAATCCAGTCGAGATGTCAAATGAGAAGTAGCCCCTGAGTCGACATACCAACTAGAATCATCATTGGTCTCCAATGTCAGTGCTGCGAAGTAGGAATTCTCGCGACGAGATGTCTTCTCTTTCTTAGCTGACATCTTGTCTTCTTGCTTTGAAAAACTCTTCTTAGTTCCCTGTTTCGAGGAATTCTGCACTTTCTTGGGGCAGTCCATCCGTACATGGCCAATTTCACCACACAACCAACACTTAGGTTTTCTTGGAAACCTTTCCTTTCCATGAGACAGAAGAGCCACATCTTCTTTACTATGTAAGTTCGTGTCATCATACTCTTGCAATTTTCTGGAAATCAAGTCAGTAGAAATTGTTATACCACAATTATCATAGGTTTGTCTCATTGGTTCAAACCTATCAGGCAAATTTGCCAACATCATTGCCGCTACGAATTCGTCATCAAGAGGTTTCTTCATTGACCGCAGCTTATCAGCAATGTCCACAAAAGCATGAGTATACTCAGTCAAGTTTTTAAACTGTTCTAACCTCAATTGTCCCAGTTTGCGCAATAACTGACATCTTCGATTCAGGCCATCATCCTCAAAAGCTACAGAAAGCTTTTCCCACGCAGATTTGGCTGTTTCTGCATCACGAATGATAGGATAACAAGTGGGCTTGACCATGAGGCCAATCTTTATTAGGGCCGTTGCATCATGCTGGGTCTTCTGTGTTTCGGTCGTAGTATCTCCTGTAGGGTATCCATTTACACTGTTCCAAATGCCCAAGTCTTTGAGATAAAGCATCATTCCGAATTTCCAATCAGAATAATTTAAACGACCGTCCAGCTTTTCAATCGGTGGCAAGGTTGCAGTTGGATTCGACATCTTTGATAATACTCAAAAATATCCACAACTCTTCAGTTAATTATATACTACGCGCAGTGGAAGAATCCTGGGCCCATAACCTGTTGTAAAACTTTTCGTTTATTTTCTGTAGTTTTTATTTCTTGATCCACACACTTCCACTTTTACATCCAGTAATATCATCTTGTATACGCACTAGCGTGCACGTGCGCATACGAAAAACCAACTTACCACCACATTGCCTGGAACCGTACTGGGACAGCCATGTGGTCAGAATGTACGACATGCGTATATAAGTATTGCCAACATATACACCAGAAACAACATGCGTATATTAGTATTACCAACAATTAAAATGGTGCTGAATAAACAATTACTGGCATGACCAAGAAAAAGGGAGGGTGACCAAATGCAGAAAGATAAATAGAGAAAAGGAAATATATGGACACCCACAACTGGAGCATTTACAGGAAGGCAGTGGAGAGCTGGAGAGACAGTTTGGTAGAAATGCAGCATGACATGATCTCCTCTAACAGAGCACAATTTTATTCCCTTTGACAAGCCTTTTATTAACTCAAGAAACATCATAATTATTACAGTATTAAAAAAAGTCAAATGATCATGAAGTTCTGCAACATATGAACATCCTGGTAATGATACCAATCCCCCCAGTGCACTGTTAAAGGCTTCATTCTTGGGGATTTCTTCTTAGTGCTGTTTTCTTCTAAACGAGCAACCTGAGAACAAAAACAGTTTTACTGGTACAAGATTTCAACTTCTCATTCAAATAACTATGAAGATTACAGTCTTATAAGATTTGATGATTTGCAATCTTGCAAACTGTTACCAATGTTTTGTGGGAATGTGCTGCCTCCATCTTCATGGTAGATGGGGGCAGTTCCTGCAAAATACTGATAATCAGACTACAGAACATCACACTGCAGCAGAAGCCACAATACTCAGTGACCTACCCCAGCTTCCTGGAAATGCTTATGTGCAATATTTTCCTCTTGGTAAACGCAACACTTCATCAACATCATGATTACAACACTGTGATTTATTATAGAATGATATGGTTATAACCTTACTGCCATCTATGAGCCAATTGTCTACAAAATGTGGGAACCTGAACATCTCACAACCCTATGGGACTTCACGGCCTGTTACAGGTATAGCTTTACCTTATTTTAAGGTATGGTTATACCGTCCAGTGTTAACTCAAAAGTATATATATGTATGTATATATATATATAAAATGCCTTTACATGTTTCCGTGAATTAATGACCATCTTCAGAAGGCAAATAACATTTGAGTAAACTACTATTATATAAATCACAGTACATCAAGCCCAAAGTTGTCCTAAGTTAAGTTCTATATATAAACATTTCAAATGAACCTAAAATGTGAAGTTAAAATATTAATAAAATTCTAATATTTGAGATCTTAAACCACTAAGGTTCATGTCTTTGCCCCTTCTATCAAGAGGAAGTTGGGTAGATTGCTGTCCTTTGTGGTCCGGGCAGTGTTTTTTTTTTCTTTATATATTTGATTAAGAGTCTGTTTGTTGTTGAGCTGCTTCTCCTTTCATTGTTTGTTGAGGCACTGTGATTTCATTATACCAGAGCCACAACAGCACTGATACAGTTGTGAATATATACGCTACACGCGCGGGCTTTTAAAAAAATCTTGGAGAGATTCATTCTTTATTGGCGTAAGAATTGCCATGATCCGATGCATAGTTTATTTGTTGCGAATTTTTAAAATGTTTCACAGACTTATGAATAATCCTGTATAACATATGGCAGAAGTGAATCAGCATCAGTGGTAATTATGTAAAGTGGGGGACAGATGCAAGTATGCATCTATACTTTTTCTTTTTGGTCTACAGCATGCTGATAACATATGAGCATCTGAATTACTCCTTGCAGATGCACAAGTTCTGTTCAAGAACTGCACATCCTTCCCTCAAGATACTGGATACCCATAACTTTCTTTCTGGCAAGTTACTTACCTTCCGTGAGTCTCGCCCTGCCCCCTGTTGGTTGACACAAGATAGTCGAACATCCTGCGCATACTACTACACTCTGTGCATGGCTAAACACTGTCGTTATCTTGTAGCAACCTGTAACACAAAGATATCAGGCCTCAACACATTTCTTTCACCTCCAGGAACTGAGACACTATAAATACTCAATAATAATGGGATAATTATCAAACCCCCTTCCTTTCCCTCTATTTTTTATAACTAAATACAAAATCTATATATTAAATGTAATACTGTCCTTGTCTAAAAGAACAAAGCCACGAAGTTATACATGGGAATCAAGTAATGTTCTCTGTAGCCATAGCTTTGGGACCAGACGGGAGTGCTTTGTTCCACAGTACAGCAACTTTATGTCCAGGGCAGGGGCCTTGAGCCCTGCTGGATAGGGCCCAGTGCCAGGAGGGCCACAGTGTGAAGATAAACGTTTCTTATCTACCAGGAATAGAACACTGACTGTACAGCCAGTCAGTATACCGATTCAAGATCTGTAGCTCTCTTGGCACTGAGTACTTGAAATTACCGGGATGCATTCCTGTGAATCTGTTAGACAGGGACAAATGCTTCACGGGAACTGCCCACCTATATTTTCCAACTCATTATGCCAGAAGACTGTAATCTAAATAAACTCAATTTAATGTTTATGAATGAGCCTTCTCCTTTATATACTGATCAATTTAAATATTTCCAAGCCATATCTCAGTCTTAAATTTATTGCTGAAAATGACATTATCCTTCACAAACCATAAACGTTCCTCTACTGTTCATAAACACCCACACACACATGTAATCAACTAAAAGCCATAACCTTTCTCCAACAAAATATTTAATTTGGTGTATAACAAACAATAATCATACAATTATCTAGGGGCAACAAATATATCACTCAAATTTGACCAGCAATGCTCAAATTCGAGTTCTGATTTCAATTTTCAAGCGTGTCCAACACAAAACTTATGCATGTGGATGAAAACATAGCTCACCAGGGCACTTGACATCCATAAAATATGAATTAGGATGCTGCACAAGCCTCTTTAACTTGTGCTTTCGCTTCTCTTCTGCTGGTGACGGATGTAACAGGTCTTTTGCGAGCTGTGAAAAGGAAACAAATTATTTTAAAATCTGCTTCTAAGTTTGTCTAAAACATCTATAAGGGTATGTCACATTTTGCACAGGCGGCCTTATGGAGAAGAAGTCCTGCATGTTAAACAAGCACAAGCACCTGAAATGTCCAATTTTAAGTTGAAAGATGTTGCAACAAATATATCCTGCATCAATTTTGGAGCATAACTTGGCTCAAATTCTGAATCCATCACAGTTAAAACTTAAGATCTCGAATGCATGATTACCATAGGAACAAAACCTTTCACTGGAGTCAGGTATTACACCACAAGCAGCAACTTTCAGTGCCCACTAATAAGTTCATGCACAGACATACTGCTTAACAAATACCAGTTACCAGATGCTCACAACATTGCACAACTATCTGCAACTTATTTCACATCTTCACAAGCAATTTAGCACTACCCATCATACCAATATAATATTTAAAAAAGAACATTTAACAGAGTGGGGCCTATATGGCAGAGAGCCATACTGAGAAGCAAGCAAGTGTGCACAGCAATGGGTTTCAAGACAGAATTGTCTCATTAATGGTATGAAATCATGGAAATTGTAATGTGGGAAAGTATAGATGGAAGGATTTTGACTAAACATGTGGCCTTTTGGGGACGTTATCAGAATATCAACAGCTGGGAGGCGAGGCCAGGCCCCAAGGGAACATGACGAGGACTAATGAAACTTTGAGACATCGTGGGACGGAAAGCACAGGCTTTTAGGATATCACAGAAATGACGCAGGAGGTTAAAGCCATTGGAGTTACATATGACCAATTAAAACAAGCAACTGATGAAATGGTAAACAATCTTAAGAAAATTCAACAATAAAATAAAGAAATTGGAGAGTCACAAGAGGCTCATGACCATAAATTGTGGATTTCAAAGGAAGCCCAAAGGAAGAAAGTTATTCTGACTTTTTCGTTTGAGGAGAGAGAGAGAGACCGGTGAATGGACATAATGAATACGTAGGATTTGAGGTTCTCACAGTGGTGGTTACGATGAGTACTATATTCTGGGATAGACTGCAGTGATATTCAACCAATGTTTTCAACAGACCACATGGCATTATATAACAGAATATAGTACTATTCATAATTAATACAGTTGAAGGTCCTATAAGGAACACAACAAAGATAAAAATGATGTGGGCAAAAGACCATAGACCAAAATTTGGAGAAAAGAGTGGCACAGCCCAATTCTAGCAAGTTTTACATCTCTGGCAGGTAACCCAACCTGCCACTAGATCTGCATGCTGGAATTATCTCAATATGAGTGAACATATTTAACTACACTACAGCCACCTATCTGTGAACACTGGAAGTATGCCACAATATCATGTGAACAAAAGAACTTCTGTGATCTGTCACTGTATAGTAAATGTCTATTTCCTAGTTTATGTAACAGTTATTTGACAACTCTGTGCAATCTGTACGTGAAAGAAGAATGACAGTTCTGAATGTTGCAATGCAATATTGAATTCTTTATGGCCACGCGTTACTAGCGTAATGTTTGTTGAAAGATGAGTGGAATACAGACTACTTACAGCTTCTCATAACCTAAAGTTCTCAATACCAGTACAAATGCGAGATCACAATAACACTTGTCTATACAGTAGGGCACCAACTGGTGAGCCTTCTACACACACTGAATCTTATTAATACTGTGGTGTATTTGCTTTATGCAGGAACTGTTGAGTCAGAGGCTTCAGGGCACGTACGCAACGAGAGAGTTGCGGACTGTATCTACATGTTGCTAGGCGACAGCTCTGTTAACGCCTGGATAGCGCAACAGGAAGTGTGAGTGACATCACATGTCCCCACTCATCCCATAACTATGCAACGCTCGGTAAACACCCCACCCTTCTATAGACTGTGACATCACGCAACAGTGGTAGCTATCATGTAACTGGCTTGTATGGAGTCCATTGCCGGACAACAGGCTCTTTTCTGTGTGGCCAGTGCGAAAGCTACATAACAAAAGTATTCGTCAGTGTTGAGCTAGACCCCCTTGTGGAGGCAGGGTCAAATACCTCCACCATGACCCTGCAAGTTGTAGGAGGGGAAGAAAAGGGAAGTCTCAAATCTGAGACAGTAAAACATAGTCCCAAGGGACTCAGACCTAAGACTGCACTGGCAAGGGCCTGCAGCATGTACAAAATGCAGACCCATCCTCTAATCAGAGAGGGCGCCCCACAAAAACAAGACCGTAAATGCCAAACCGTGAAAAATTACTGACTGACTGACTGACCGACCATCAGTCACAATGTGACTTGGACTTGTTGAGCCAGTATGACTTAAAGAGCAGCTGACAGTCGCGGAAGCAAGTGCAGTGGAACCAGATGTCAAGTGTGATTTAGAAGACTGGTGTGTGCAACGGCGCAGTGGATTATAAGATGTATGTAAATCAGAGATAGAGCTGTATTTGATTGCAATTATGAGGGTGCATGTAACCAAGCTGTTAATAAATCCAATCATCCGAACTAGAATCCGTCATTCCATCATGAGTGACCCCTACACGTGACAATATGAATTCTTCGGTACACTGTAAACTACAAATATGTTTTCTAGTTTGTTATTTAGTGATGCTGTCGACATCAGGATGACAAGAGCATTGATAACAGGATGATTAATGAATATGGAGCAGTTGGTGAAATGAGAACTGGCAGGAGAGACAAAAGTATTCAGAGAAAACATGCCCCAAAGCAACTTCATCCACCAGAAATCTACCATTACCTAACCCAGGCAAACTACAAATGTAATTTAGTATCAAATGATGAACTGTAATATAATTATGGTAATTTGGGAGCAATATGGAATAAAGTGGTCACCACACTTTTCACGGTACTGCCTTGCTTATTTGCTTGGGTGGACTAGGATCTACAATGAAAGAATCTCGGGCACGTCATGATTTTAGTGCATGTACAGAATTCGTTTCTCAAGAAAAATTATTTCTTTCAACCCCTCAATTACAATGCTATGGGGCTGGTGCCCAATTCAAGCTTGGGGTAAACAGTACCAGTGCACAAAAAAATGAATGCTCAGTCATGTGGTCTGCACACACACACGCATCCACACATTCACACACAGGATGTCATAACAATGTAATGCCAACCTAGTTAAAGTTAACCCACACTTCATAAGAATAGGGCCAACCATCTTTCTCCATACATGTTATGTATATCATGTAACAATGATCTATAGAGACGAAATAAATAAATAAAATAAATATGGAAGTTTTACGAAAGCCTCTGAACTGGATGATTTCTTTGGTATTCAGAACTGTGCCCAAACTCCCACAGAGATCAAGTGCACATCTAATCTAATAATTTTAAAAAGTTTTAGGTTGTATTAAGACATTTCTTCAACACTCATACGTTGTATACTGTGGATGAATATCTAAATAGATAACTTTTATTATTATTGTATTCATTGTACTGTCTAGTTGTGTAATAACTATGTATGTATTTTATGCTCTATATTATTTTAAGACATATATCCATCTTTGGATCTCTTGAACTTACGATAAATACAAAAACAAACTAAACTTTGGTATTAAAAGCATTAAGTGTAATCTGAACATTCTAATGTAACAATACCTTCAATCTCAAAGTACTTGGCGAACGTAATTGAAATGCATACTTGTGAGCACAATGCTTAAAATCACTCTTAACCTAATACTTCTTCCACGCGCTATTACTAAAAATATCCACTCCACAGATGCATCATCACAAGTACCTAAATATAAGAACTAATAATTTTAAAATGTCCAATTTACAGTAAGGAAGCCATAATCAAATACTACACACAGCAGTTTCTACAACACAAAAATTAACCTAAGGCCTCCAAAAGTGTTATTTGCATTCAATTTATCGTCGTATCACTTCACTCAGGATCAGTCAAAAGTTACAAATACATATATCTTATTTCTCATTAAATTCTACGTAAGCACAAAATATGAGGTTGGCATGTCAAAACTTGCACGCTGGGGGTGTACGAACATGTGGACACGAACGCAGATACATCATTTTGAACATATATTAACGCCACTCTTTACACCACACATCTCACTAAATTTATTCTATAAATTCGTTCCGATGTTCTATAATAAATACACTACCTACTTCACGAAAAACACAAATAATTTCACCGTAAACATACTTATTCTTCACATTTCAATACTTACAGGCATGATCACACCGTGTGTCTACACCGGAAAAGGAACGTACTGCATGAAAATCGCACACGAGCGCACATGAGTGAAAGCTGGAGTGCGTTCACATATCAAATGAAGTCATATTCATCGCTGCTGTACCACTGAACCAAGAAACGACAAGAAGAAGAACCTGATATCCTGTTTTATTCATATAAAGTTTATGTGGTGTCGGCCGGCGCGTAGGGACGACAGCCTCACCGCCAACTTTGAACCCACTGTTTTCTAATGTGAGGTTTGACATATTTTTCTGCAGATCAATGGAAAGCAGTACTGGAGATGAAATTTAAAATATAACTAATTCCTCATTCATTTATACTCAATCCATATAAAACTTATTATTTGAAAGCCCAACATACTGCAATGTACATACAAGTATCCTTTGATCTATGAAGCCAATTCAGTCAATGAGAACTATCCAGAAGCTTAAAATTTGTCAGTTGCGCGTCTTCAAGGCAACAAATATACTAAACTAAATTAATTTACTGGCAGGTGTGCCAACTACAAAGGCTATAAGGAGATAAGGGGTGGACTAGAAGCTGAATGGCTGTGCAATTATGTTAAATGCAATATATGTATAAATACTTCAGATGAAAACATGTCTAACACTTATTATAAGCCTCCCCTTGCTTTTCCTACTGTGGCAATTAAAAACTTCTTACAAATGTACATTGTTTGTTGCATAAACAAGTCATAAATTGTAGGTTCATAAAATGAAAGATATCCATACAGTATCTTAATATGTTTTAGCTGTTATTAGGTTTCATTATGGTAAACGCCTGATAAACACCCTCTGTCCCCCTTGCTCACGTCCCCCCACTCACTCATGCGAACACACACACACAGACTGTATTTTCAAAATCCTTTATGCTCCATATGAAATGTGGGAAATAATTCCAAAGCATCCTATTGGACACCCCAAATATATGAATTACTCACACAATTAAAATCTCCAACATCTACAGAATTTCTAGATGTGACATCAAAGAGCTAATATTAATTTAACATCAGTTCTGATGTATGTATATGAAACATTTTAACAAAACAAGCAAAAACATTGTATCAGAGGCTTGAAATGAGGTTCTCACAGTTGTGAAACTTCATATTATGCCATTGCAAGGAATGGCAGGCACACATTCAGAGCAACAAACCACCTCCATCTTCATAGCAGATATTCAGAGCAACAAACAACTTCCATCTTCAAGGTAGAAGTGAGCTCACTCAGATTATTCAGTATTGTAATCAAGATCACAATATCAGTAAATAGAAACACTACTCTTGCATACCATCCACACATTTTATTGATAGTATAGTATTACATTTAAGCACATATTAAGATTACAGCCTTCTGAGATTTGACACAGCAGTTTGGTAAATGCACACCAATGTTTTGGAGGATCCAACTGCCTCCATCCTCTCACTTCTGTACCCTGAAGATGGAGACAGGCGAGTCATTTGAAACACTGGTACTACCTTTTACACTATTCAGCATCATCCAAGACAACAATAATCTTGATATTCATGATTGTCAGAACCTCAGACTTCACTTATGCAAATACTGTTGGACACTGAATCAGACGAGACAAAAAGAAATATGATGATGATGATGGTGATGTGGTTAACACTCAAGTGTTCAAAATGTACTGACTCTGCTATGGACGGATTTTTCACGGTACATCATGTAGTCCTGTAGATGGATAATGTTTCAATGCTTCAGGGGAACAGATTACTTCCATCTTCAGGGTTGAAATATGTAGTAGTAGTAGTAGTAATAATAATAATAATAATTTTATTTAACATTCACCACGGTCACAAATTGTAACTCTCGAACAAGTCACATACATATACTTTTCCAGTCTAATTGGCCTCCTGCCCAATCGATTGAATGTCATCATATATCACATAACATAACATTCAGTTACAATTAAAATCACACTCACGGTATAATTAAAATATATTAGGTACAATCAAATTTACGACTACCTTCCATTATAAAAAACAAGGTCATCTTACTATATACAGGGTGTCCCAGGAGGAATGTGCCAAACTTCGGGAGGGTGTTCCTTATGTTAAAGTATGCCGATATAACCCAAAACACCTATGTCCAAAGTTGAACGGTTACGGAGATAATGGCCCGAGAAAAGTGTGGTCTTCTAGCGGGTCCACGGATTATACCTATCAGCTGAGAGGAATTATCTCTGTTTGTCCTTGACTGCCGTGATTCATCCTATCCGTGCTTATGGAGTTGGCTTTATCAGAACGCGCAGTCAGCACGTTACGTCATCGCTTACCATTCATGTGTCATGTACAGTGCTTGGAACTCTTAACGACAACTTTGAGATGGCATGCGAGTTTTTTGTACTTCAATTTTATGGCTTCATGTCACTCACAAGTTAGTTTGATGTTACGTACATTATTAACGTTACAGAATCCACATATTCCTGCCAGTTTTAATATCTATTTTGTAATCAACAAGTGTGTAACCCCGGTCAAAGTTTGACACTTCTCTGGCCATTATCTCCGTAACCGTTCAACTTTGGACATAGGTGTTTTGGGTTATATCGGCATACTTTAACATAAGGAACACCCTCCCGAAGTTTGGCACATTCCTCCTGGGACACCCTGTATATCTTAATTACCACCGTCATATTCTTAAACTTAAAACCTATTATATCAAAACAATCCACAAATGATAAAATTCAATTTAGATAACGATGAAATAATTTGGAGTGCAATCTCTTTTAAGACTTCCGTTCCCTTGTAGGCTGAATCGTATTAAAAACTTCACCTAATTACTAGTCATTTTATTTACACTTAAATCTATTTATCAAGGAGAATCTTATTCGTTTAACTGTCCTTCTGAGAGGAACTCATGCAACTTATACAATGGCTGTTCCAGTAATTATCTTTTGAGTCTATGTAGGAATTCTCTATCTGCTTTTACCATTCTTAGTTCCAAAGGCAGTCGATTATAAAGCTTAATAGCCATATTTGTAACACCCTTCTCATATGTTAAGGCAACATTTCTCAAACTATGATCTGCAGACCACAAGTGGTCCTTGAGGTGGGCCCTTGTGGTCCTTCAAAAAAAGACAGAAGAAAAAATAAAATTCAAATGAACTGCGTATCACACTATAGCTGGAAATCTCAGAGTTTGGAAATTACACATGGCAATCGTCTTTCACTTTTTCTTCCAGTATTGACATTTTATGAAATTTATTACCCTACCCGCCTACCGACTACCCACTCTACTCTCAACAACAAAAGAGGGCTCTACGTATCTGTGTGAGAAAGGGTTTTCATCACTAACTCAACATTAATGTGAATACCAATATTTATTTATTTTTTTAGTTAATAAGTTAAAGATTATCCAATTTCTAATAGCCTTGAATTATTAATAAACAAATATGAATCTTCTTCTATTAACTTAATTACCTAACACTAATATAAAATTAATTGAATTAAATGAATTTTAATGAATTAGTTAATTATATTTAAAAATATAAGTATACCAGTAATAAAATATGGTAAAATGATAAATTTGTTTTTGAAGGGAACAAGAGTAAGGTGGTCCACAGAAGTGTTCTGACTTATAAAAGTGGTCCCCACTTCAGAAAAGTGTTTAGAAACGCTGTGTTAAGGTATTATAACTTTGCATGTGAAGGTCTGCTTTCTTTCTCATGTCATACTTATGTAGGTTTTTGTGGTGTAAATGTTATATTTGTTGAAATAACATAACACCTCTAAAATATACAAAGATGTTACCATTAAAATGTTTAATTCTCTAAATATAGGTCTACATGTTCTTTTTGTTACCCCTTTCATTATTCAAAGAACCCTTTTTTGCACAATCATAATTTTTTTACTGAGGAATCTGCCTATATATATATATGGGTTTAGAAGGAAGATATAGCTGCCATACTTTAATTTAGTCACAATGGTGTTATTACTGAAAAACTGCAATGTGAGAGTATGTGGACCACACACATGAATTATTTCAGTACTGCAACATAGTCAGTGAAGGTTAATAACAGTGAGGAGAGAGATTTACATAACCATAGTCAAATTCCAATATTTGCTGAGTTTTGTTTCTTCTAAGATAACATCACTTCTTTTTTCATGGCACTTTATTTGTTACGGAGTGGCCTTTTGGCATCATCAGCAAATAATCAAGGCAAATTTTAAAATTTCATCTATACCAGGCATGTCCAACTTCAAACAGGTTGTGATCGACTTTTTAGTGTCAAAACTACCAGTGATCTACCACCCCCTCCTATCATCATACCTCACTTTAAGCCAAAATATTGGTAAAAATAACATGACACATGATGTTTCTTGTAAAAACAACATACATTGAAAGTACAGAAAAATAGGAATGGCTAATACGTTATATTTTAGCTGCGTGTGTCACAGGAGCAAGACACAACAAAAGCACAACACACACATGATAGTGAAGGAGTGCTCCAACAGAGGAGGATGGGCGTGACTGACGTAGTGAGGTGCGACACAGCGATGTGGAATCCTGAACAATTTTAATATTTTTAACGCTTGACATTTGTCAATATATATGATATATATTTTAGTTATTTTAATGTGAGGACAAGGCATGCAATGAACTAGTTTGGCGTGGATTGAGTAAGCACCTGAAGATGGCATTATTATGCCGAAACATGTAGTGCGAGTGAGAGAAGGAGATAGATGAGTGTATGCACTGCAAGACGGTTTAAATAAATCATGGGCTAATATGTATTTTCCCTTCAAAATATGAATACAATCATATTATATTACAAGTGAATTTACATGCTTTTCACGTATAATTTCCTTATAGACCTCAACACGTTGGACATGCCTGATCTATACAATGATTATAAATAGTGTAACTGTGTAAATAAATAGAGCAGACTCGCACTTAACAGGGGGCAGATTTTCCAGGTTGCAGGCTGTCTGGCAGCTCTGTATATAAAAGTAACTGCTCCATCCAATGTAAAAAAATATACTCCATATAAAATTGCTTCTTAAAAAGGGGGAAGTAAACAATGTAGTTATACCTTACGCTTGAATCACGGGACCGAACAAACTTCTTTCCTTTCACTTTTCAAAAAGTAATATTTTCATATTTAATTTTTTTTATTGATCACAGATTACAACTATAATTGTACCCATGTTATTGTACTAATATACAAGTATGTCTGCGTTGTTTTATGAATCCCAATTCGCAGGTCAGTTACACATTCCTTCTACTGATCATCTGAGGAAAAATTCCAATCCACCAGGGATAACTGGGAGTCTACTGTAAACAAATAAATAAACAATCGACAACAACAATCAATTAAACTTCACATTTCATGGTGAAATAATACTTTAAACCAGACCACTACTTCTTCTTCTCATATAATCACCAGCCATTTTTCACTGCAGTCTTCATATTTGAGAGTTACAAGCCACTGCAGTTGTGAAAATCCATTAAAGAAACAGAACTGTGTATTACTGTTATTTAATAACACAGAATAAAAAGGGCTCCCGCCACTGGTGTCTATTACATTGAAATTCAAAGCAGAAATCTAGAATAGCATTTTAAAATTCAGGAAAACAGATTTTAACATGATATTTTGATCTCAAAGAACACAGGCGCTATTCTAGTAACCCTCTACCTAAACAAACGGAGCGACTCAGTTCTGGCACATCTACCGAGATCCAAGATCTGTGATGCTAGAGCTAAGATCTCAATTAAACCTGCAATGTTGCCGAAAGCAGCACAGCATTTTTATTTATACTTACACTGTACTCTGTTGTAAGTTCTGCACTTCTAATGTTGCAACCAGGCATCCTACAAGTTACAAAAGATGCCAGATACAGAAGCACATAAAAGGTTGTAAATATAAATAAAACTGCAGTGTTTCATCTATGGAATTAAAAGAAAGATACAGAAACAGCGTATCATTTTACGGGCTGTTATTAAAGGACAAGGCTAGCAGTGACAGTAGCATCATGCTTGTTGCTATTAACAATTACTGTAACTGGTTGAATATGAGGATCAATGACAGTAACAAATGTGACCATACCATCTCGGAACAGTTCAGCATTTCCTTCAGACAAGAACAATCCAGTCACTTCCTGCGCAATCATATAAACTTCAGTATCTGAAAGGTCTCCATTATTTATAAAATCTCTGTGTTTCTTGTACAGCAGTTGGGAGTTGCCATCGGCTCCCTGATCTCTTCCTGTGGTCTCTACATGAGAGTTGCCACCAGCTCCCTGATCTCTTCCTGTGGTCTCTACATGAGAGTTGCCACCAGCTCCCTGATCTCTTCCTGTGGTCTCTACATGAGAGTTGCCACCAGCTCCCTGATCTCTTCCTGTGGTCTCTACATGAGAGTTGCCACCAGCTCCCTGATCTCTTCCTGTGGTCTCTACATGAGAGTTGCCACCAGCTCCCTGATCTCTTCCTGTGGTCTCTACATGAGAGTTGCCACCAGCTCCCTGATCTCTTCCTGTGGTCTCTACATGAGAGTTGCCACCAGCTCCCTGATCTCTTCCTGTGGTCTCTACATGAGAGTTGCCACCAGCTCCCTGATCTCTTCCTGTGGTCTCTACATGAGAGTTGCCACCAGCTCCCTGATCTCTTCCTGTGGTCTCTACATGAGAGTTGCCACCAGCTCCCTGATCTCTTCCTGTGGTCTCTACATGAGAGTTGCCACCAGCTCCCTGATCTCTTCCTGTGGTCTCTACATGAGAGTTGCCACCAGCTCCCTGATCTCTTCCTGTGGTCTCTACATGAGAGTTGCCACCAGCTCCCTGATCTCTTCCTGTGGTCTCTACATGAGAGTTGCTATCAGCTTCCATTTCAACACTATCTCTACTCTCTGATAAAGCCACTTTCATGAAAAGCTGACATGCTTTCTTGACATAACCCATGGCCTCTACAGTGTTGTAATTCGTAAGAACAACTCTTATGAAATTCTGCCTTCTGTCTCCTTGATTATGGTAATTTTCGTCAAACTGTGCTCTGTTAAAATTATTTCCTTGTGAAGACTGAGCATTTTTCAAATCACTTTGATATTTTGCTTCAACCTCATTTACCATCTCATTGATGTACTGAACAAAGAATTCAACAATATGAAGAAATTCAGCTGTTTTCTTGAAACCCAGGCCCTCTGCAAGCTTGATTGAAATATCTAGGATTTTCTGGTGGTGTTCCTGTGCAAAATTCCACAAACAGGATGTCACAGTATCCACTTGCCCATCATCCATCTTGGACAGCATATTTTTCAACCCATCAGGTTTTCCACTCGTATCTGAACTCACTGTTTTATTGATGCTTGCTATGGTCTCAGTCCGTCGCAACCTGAACACAATCTCTTGTTCTCGACAGAATGTTTTCACCTGCAGGTATAAAAATAAAATATGAAAAGAGTTCATCAAGTTTTAGGAATTCATTTATGTAACAGGCTTTATATGTTCTTTGTGCAAACTACATGAAATAAATGTGAAGTGTGGAAGTTAAATTTGTTTCCATGCTCTGCCATGCACAAATACTCAAAAAAGGAGTTTGACAAAATCATTGTTTAGCTGTCCACACTAAACTTGAAGAGTACTATCTTCTGTGACATGACACTGTGTAGTCCAGCAGACATTAACTGCAGTAAGCTGCTGGTTGCTTGTTTCCTCATTCTTTGACCCTGAAGTTGGAGGAGGCACATTCCTCTGAAATGTTGGTGAAACTCTACTGATCTACATCGTGTGTCATCCCAGAAAATAGTGAACTTCACAGTCCCTGCTCTGAGGACATCAGACGACATGCTAAAGATGTGTCTCAAATTTAATTTTGGATTGTATCAAGCCAATAATAGCAAGAACAGCTGTCAGCAAAGTAATTATAGCCTAGATTTACACACTTGTCACGTTGGGGGGGGGACTGTGTCTTTGATCACCATCCAGCGTCCAGTAAGAGATAATGGACCACTGGCACATGTGACATAATTCCAGGGCATCCACAGTTTTCATTCATAGAAATATATCAATAGAGAACAGTGACTAAATCACAACTGCTTGTTAATTTGTGTCTGGATACTGAGCCGTGTCCCTTGACCCTGCGGGTAAAGAACCCAGTTCTTTACCCACTCAAACCCGTGAACCCCTGCTCAAATGGGTAAGGGACAGGCTCATAAGAAACGACTTGCTTGCACGTGATGTCCTATGCCTCCCCAAGGTCGAGTAGGGGATCTCGGGAGAGGAAAACCACTGTCGGCACTATGGGCCAAGCTGGACGGATCAGCTAGTCCGAACTGGTAGGGAACACACTGCTCAAGTATACATAGATACAACTGGCGTTTCCAAACATATAAATAAATATATATTGATAACCTAAGAATACAGGTGGACTCTGCCTGATGGGCAGGGACTTGTCAGAACATGAGATGAACAATCTATGCAGAACTACACTGTGCCTAGGCGCACAGAGACTCAAGTCAGGCTCGCCTCACGGCGTCATTCAACTTCTCTAGTACAGACATGTACTCACACAAGCCTTGAGGGCACAAGAAAGATAAACAGGTTACAACACGCCTGAGGGGCGATGGCTGTTCAACACAACCCAAAACAAAACCAACTTATCTTACGCCACACGGCGTTCATGATAGAAAGGAAACCATCTACAACAGTAAGTCACTTACTTGCGTTTCCTGAATTACAACACAAAGTTTTACCTCACGACTTGATCCAGGCTTGATCACGTCGTGAGGGCACTCTTCCCCCTTCAAACGCTGCTACGGCCGAAACCAAATTTCACAAGATCAATTCAACATAACGAAACCAAATTTCAAGGCAGCGATGTTACCTGTCCAAGGTCAACGGGGAGAGAGAGGACGATACATTCGTTTTACTATACAGGAAACCTCGCACTGCATCCAGGAGGGGGGAGGGGGACAAGGTCAGCTGACCTGACGTCAGCTAAGACTTTAAGTAGAAAGGAGGAGGAACGGCTCGCATCCTGGCGTTTCNGGGGGGACTCCAAGGAACTTCACAGAGAAGAACCGTTGCACGGTTCAATACTCGTGACTGAGAATGAAATTTACATTTGCAGAGATGTTTCCTGAGAAAGGCAGTTCTCCTGTTCACCATTCCTACTGGCTTGGATTACATTCTACCTCCGCCCCCAATCCCATGGATCTAAATGACCACTTTCCTTGCAAACTGATACTATAATGTAACTGCATCCTCCTTGTACTCAATTTGATCAAGATGGGGCAGCATGTTCCTCGTGACACAGAACACAACAATCCGTACAATCACCACGAGGAGAACTTCAAAACTTACACAAAGTTCTTTATTATCTAATAAATATTACTTCCACTTGGCTCATCTGTTATGTCAAAACATTTCCAAACAGTTGTACATAAAGGTAAAGCTATCCCTAAACAGGTTGTGGAGGCCCAAAGGGTCCCAAGATGTTGAGGCTCACACATTATCTAGACAACTGGCTCACAGATGGCAATGAGGATGTCAGCCTTATTCCTGGTACTCATATCTGTTACAGCCTGAGCTGATCCTTGATGAAGGATTAGGTTAATTTAAAAATCCAATCACTTTACCAGGAATCGAACACGTGACCTACCGGCTTGAAGCAGTGTGCCTCAACTACGCTACCACGTGCCCCCAGTTGTACATAAACACTTTCACTATACAGGTGCACCTTGACTGATGCAATAGTTGTGTTCCAAAAAGTCACAGAGGGTCAAAACTTAATAAATCATACACAATTTTCCATTCTGCCCTAGCGTTCTTCATCTGGAAACTCACCCCTCATCTCCACCTCTCATGATCAGCCATCAAGCAAGTGTTTTTAACTGAAATCAGTCTAAATTAGTTGACTGCATTAAAATGAAATTACATTTCCATACTTTCATGAAACAATGAGTAACCACACTCTATTCTCTCATAGCAAGAGACCTCATTTCAGAACCATACACAATAACAACAAATGAAATGAGTGAAACAACATACCTCTTCATTAAACTGTTGACGGGTCAAAATCCTCTCACTGAGTTTCTTGGTGGCATCCAGAATAACCTGACGCTGGGCCTTATTAATCTCAGAGAAGTCCATTGGGTGGACTTGCAGCCCACCGTTGATTTCCACCAATCCTGTGTCTGTGAAAGACACCGTTGCTCCACTTCTGCTCAGTTGTTTTTGAACTCGCACCAGCCCAGCAAAAAAGTCATCCTTATCAGTGATATGATTAATGCCTCTTATAACCTGCAACACAGAATGCTATGCAGTACTGGACGGCTGGGACCTGGTGGTTTGCGAACTCCTTACGAATTTAAACAATGGTCTTCTGGGTTATGACACTGCACAGTCTTGTACATCACTACCAACGTTTTGTATGAACCTGACACTTCCATCTTCAGGAAAATTTCAGAATACTTCACAGAGTTTATGCACTCAAATATGATTACCAATTTTTTTAAAGAATCTGATGTCTCCATCTTCTGGAAATTTATACAATATTTCCGAGGTTTCATAGTCTCAGCTATGATTATCAATATATAAGATATATAAAGTATGGAATACACCATCTGCACAACAACAATCTGTATTTAAAACAAAGAAGATACTACTGCATCAACATTTGATTTTATTATGTTTAACAGTGACGCAACATGTTTCGACCCGTCCACACGTCATCAGGCATACAAAGCTCTGAGCTGTTGAGTTGCAATCAACTGTGATTTTACTCATCAAATAAGCATCCCTATTTTGTGTCTTGAAATTAAATTCAAATGTAAATGTATAACAAATCTTGGGTGAAATTTAAAGCTAAAGCTCTTAGATAAAAAACGTAGTTTAAAATTACAGCAGTAAAGATAGAAAATGAAAACATTACACCAAGAGAACAAAGATTAAGACATAAAAATTAAAATAGTGTTTAGTTGGCAACATTCTGTGACCGCTACGTGTAGGCCTGGTTTTTAGCCAGAAGAAGCAATTACAGCATGGGGGACCCACGTAAGAGAATCTTCTCATTAGGAAAGGTCATGCAGCCATGACCTCGGTAATGTCATAGAGAGCTTAAGCTCAATACAAGGTTAAGTGATATATATATATATGGTTGTACTTATGAATGGTATGTGTGCAGGCTGCCCCTGCCTTGATGCTGTTGCTATATGTAGTAGCACAGTCATTGATGACCATCAGTGTTCTGAATGAACCTGCTGTCTTGTAAGATTCGAGGTTGTCACAGCGGTGACTATGAACAACACTGTCTTCTGGGATGTGACGCTGTGTAGATATTGTGTAAACCAATGTTTCGGGGGAACGTATCATGATAGATTTCTCCGAAACTTTGGTTTACACAATACCTACAGAGCCCCACATCCCAGAAGACAGCATTCTTCAACCTGATTCAGGGAATTAAGAGAATATTTCAGTGGGTTCATAGTCTCATACATGATTATTAATGTTCCCAACAAACTTGATGGCTCCACCTTCAGGGAATTTACAGAATGTTTCAAAGGTTCAACGAAGAAATGCAAAAACGTTTCTGTTTTGTCAGGCAACAGATCAAAGTGTGCAGGGATCAAAGCATACACGAAACAGACTGCCACTTGTTGGTGTATGTCCTGTTTCGCTGGAGGGGGGTGGGTCAGCTCCCATCACACACAAAGTCACTAAACTTTTGTGACAAAATAGTAGGTCAGTAGAACGGTTGCCCAATGTCACTGAACAACGTGTAAGTGACCCACAAATTCCACTGAAGACTGCTCCTCTGCAACTGCACATTGTAATAAAATTTGAAGCAATATGTGTTTTTACATATTTTATAGAAACAATCATTTTACTGTTACCCATTTTGAGACTACTTTCCCTACTTTGAAAGAATAAAAGCAAACTTATGTGATCACTTTGCTGGTTGTGACTATGCCCTCCCCCACCCAACAACTCCTGAATGCCTGCTCAAGACGAGCAGCCTTAAGGAGGGAGAAACGTGATGATGCCTGAAAGCAAGAAGAGTGGAGCTAGAAGAGACAGCTGTTGCTGGCCAACAACTCGGTAAACATGTACCTGCAGCAATGTATATGTGTATTTGTGTATATTATACATAATTTGTAGTGAAAGGAAGCATGCAATTAGTTCCCAGAACTTCTTGTAATATTATCCTCCAGTCTATATCTATGTCTTTCTAGTGCTTTACTCCTTCACACTTTCTACCAAAACCCTCCATGCACTTCCTGTCTCTCACTCATCTTCTCTTTGATGCATGAAACATGCCCTGGTTACCACATCTTCCTTGACTTGATCATTATAATAGATGGGGAGTAAAAATTAATGAAGCTCCTTATCATGTGTTCTTCACCAGACTTATTTCATCCCTCTCTGGTTCAAATATTCTCAACATCCTGTTCCCAAACACCCTCAGCCTATTTTCTTCCAAGAACATGAGAGACCACATTTCATACCAGGACAAAATTACAGTTCTGAATATTCTGTCTTTACATTTTTTGGGTAGCAGGCAAGAGGAGAAAATGTTCTGAACCGAACAGTAGCAAGCAGTCTATGAATTTAATGTACTCTTTGTTTCAGCACAAATCAAATTTTAATCTGTTACTGGCATTCCCAACTACGTATTGAATTCTGCCACACTTTTAAAATATTTATTAGGTATCTTACATTTAATTTTATTATAGCCTACAAAATTATAGTAAAAAATACATGTCTCCAATATGTGCCTTTAGAGGTGACACGTCTTTCCATGGGTTTTAAAGAGTTAATGAAGCATGTCTTTCTATCATACTAATAATTCTGACCTTTGCATTGCCTTGCATGGAGTTTCCGTCATTGCCTTGCGTTTGTTTTGCAACACGGCGGAACATACGTCGATGTCTGTTGCTCCTCAAGCTTCCCTCAAATTCGTTTATGATACCACTTTGTGTTTCTTTGATAATAGCACTGGCTGTCTTAGTATTCATTGCTGACATGCTGAAGAACAACAGTGATGACCCAAACTGGAACACCTCAAGAGGCGTTACCCCTTCGGAATTATGTTTCTCACACAAAGCAACAAAGGTACTAAACAATCCCAGTCCATTTGCTGCCAGTGACCCATAATTGAGTGCAGTCACCATCACACGTCCCGTTCTGAAATGAGATGCAGGTACAGGAGCATGAATGCAATTATCTAAACAAAAACAACATAGTACAAGTACTGTCTTCTGAAATGTGATGCTGTGTAGTCCAGCATTCTAGAGGAATGTACTGTACTTCCCCAAATCCAGACACTTAGCAACATGTACACAGTGCTGTGCTTGGTGTCTGCTCCTTACTAGTTCCTTCCTTCACTTACTGTTCAACTCCAAAGACAAACAAGTGTGTTTCTGAGAAATACTGGTAAACCTCTACTGCACTACCCTGTGTCACATCCCTTTCACACACACTATCGCAAGCAACTCGTATCCTACGACAATGCATTCTGTATGATTCAGTATCCCTCACTAGCACTGCAGATATCACCACTCAACAGCCAGAAATTATTTTCCATGCATTTTGCCAAATATTTACCATATCAAAAAATAAGTTTCAAACTGATGATTCAAATCCTAATGAGCTCTACATTTCATATTATGTACCAATTACGCATGGTATCAAGCATGATCACTCAACTTGTAACACTTCTGTACTGTGTTCTGTGGTAACCAGCTCAAATCTCAGTCAGGACACAAACTATCCTACAAATTTTTGTGGATTCCCTTATTCCCTCCAGGCAAAATGACAGGATAGGACCTCGATTAGGCCATGGCCACTTCCTTTCCAATCCATCATTCACCAATCAATGATGTATATAGTTCAAGCTACTGTCAACATTAGTAAATAAACTACAAATAAATATTCATGCAAGTAGAGGTTACATTGGAGTAATATGAAAGAAGATTAAATTTGCCTCAGAAAGACTAGTGTACACCCCTCAAAACCTGTTTAGTCATTTCAGGCATGAAATTTTCAGAAAGGCAAATGGGGACAACCACCCCTCAATGCATCCACTTCCTGTGCACTGTGCAAACAAAATGCAACATACGACATCAAACTCGGTACTCCCAGAGTTCCCTTCTCACTCTCTGTTTCGGAGGTGTTTCGAACATATTCTGGTTTGCTGGCTTCGTTCACAGGCTAGTCTCAAGCTTGATGGAAAAATCAAGGTACTTCTATATTAATGGTGGTCAAAGTAACTTTAAATATTACTGTTATGTCATCTGCCATGTTGGGGCTGCTGTCCTTAGAAGTTTATTTCTGAAAACATAACACAAAGTGTAGCCTTAGAATCTGCCTCCAACTTGTACACAAGGTTAGGCTTTTGGCTTTGTTTTTAATAGTATATACCTAAAAGATCCTACGTTTAAGCCCTGAGTTTTGATTTTATAACTAAACTTCTAAGGCCAGGTGCGCTAATGTGGCGAACAGTTTGGTGGTAAATTTCAGTTACCAGGGCCACACAATAATAAAATATCAATACAGTAAAACCCCAATTATCCGATTTAGACTGAACTGGAGGATGGCCGAATAACCAAAAATATCAGATAATACAAATAATATTAAAAACACAGACAAACATATGATACATATAAGGAGAGTAGGAAAAAGGCTAAGAAAATAACTGGCAGTAAAAAGAAAGCTTCCCTCTAAAAGGTAATTAAAAATATTGAGTTTTCTAAATCAGAATGGCAGTAGGAAGTTTCATCAAGCTGTAAACAAACTGAATAAAGGATTCCAACCAAGGCTGGATATCTGTAAGGATAAAAACTGAAATGTAACAGGAGACAAATTAGAGATGTGAATAAATGGATTGAAAATGCTGAAGAAACTCTGAAGAGGACAGATGAAAAAGAGATAGAAAAAATACAGGATATCACTGCTGAAACTTGAGACTGATACTCCGTCATTACTTGAGGTTAAAATGGCAATAACAAGAGCACCTGGCGAGGATTTCACAGTCGCAAAAGTTTTAAGAACGGTCAACAGTCTCTCTCATAAATTAAAAAGCCATATGTACACACACCCACATGTGTGGCGAGCATTCTCACAATGACTCGCACCACTGATTCTGCTTTTCAGGCACTAAAGTCGGATATCAGGGAATGTCAGATAACCGACAGTGGGATGAACATGTTCTACTGCAACAGAATGAATATTACTATTACCATATTACCATAATTTGTGAGTGGTTACTCTTTCCTCACCTGCCAAGAACTTCTCCACTCTGCGTCACCTTGGTGAGGTATGCAACACCCTTGGCTGAAGCAATTCCCAATACATTACTAGCAGCAGAAATCCAGCAGTTTCGAGCTTCTGTATCCTTCAACCCCACACTCTGTTCATGTCTGCCTCGGTCAACCAATGTTTGTGTACTCCTTGAGGCACCATACACACCAGTCCAGATAGCTCCAGCACTGGCTGCTGCAGCTACAGGTGCTGCCACAGCAGTAAACATCGCGGTCAAACTCACTGCCATACCACCAACCTGCCATGCATACATGAATACAGGAGGAATTTAATTACATTTAAACTAACGGACCAAAATACAAATTCTGCCAAATTCAAACCCTGTCACAACCTCACAACTCATTTTAATATTACACTTGTACCCCGATCTGAGTCTTCAGTCTTCCAACGTCAGAAGCAGGAGAGACGGGGCATCTGTGCCGCATATCCACTGGGAAACAATAACTCAGATCCTGAGAACAGACTATACTTTTGAGGTTCTGAGACTCTTGTGCAGACTACCATAAGAATTTGCAACATTAACTTTGCTCTCATCTTGCCATTTCTTTTTGATTTACACCACTGTTGCGTTCAAGTAATCGGAAGACTGTAAACAGTTGGAATTACTGCAGAAGTGAGAATGAAGGTAGAGTGTTGGGACAATGTGTCAATCCATATTCATTAAAAAAATGACTTACATGACTTATGCTTTTAACAGCTCAACTTTTGTGTGCCATGTGATATACTGACATCGTTATCATGATTCTTGCTGCTACACCGCTAGACTCACTGCCAGTGCCTACCTCTTTCGTTTCAATGTACACATTTTCTTATACAGTTCACTTGGTATTGGTGAAGTAAAGACGCCAATGTTCTTACGTTCACAAATGTCACTAACCTGAACCATCCACACTCAGCACCTACCATACTTAGCCAACTGTGACGTACAGCGAACATTAGTGCCTTCTGTGATGTTACACTGTGTAGGCTGGTAATTCTCTACCCTGAAGATGGAGGCAGCATATTCCTCCCAAACAATACTACCAATCTATTGCAACCCTTCATTCTAATTGGTGGACTATGGTGCATTAATTAAATCTATATTAAGTTAAGATTACAAAATTACAAACAAAGAGATCTGGCAGATAGCCAGCTCTTACACGCGGAAGGGACATAGTTCAAGTTTTGCTATGTGGACAGGAAGTAACATCTGGTACTTTCCTGGAATTCTGGCAGTTTCAGCAAAGTCGGAAAGTCTTTGAAAATTTGAGAGCTGACAGCTTGGGACAGCGATAACTTAGAAGTGGGACGGCCGGAGCCTCATACCCTGATCGTAATGCATCAAGGGGCTGTCAACCTTAGCGTCAGGTCAGCATCTGCCAGAATCACATAGCAAAGCAACATGATTGGGAATTCAAAATTTAGGGAACCTCCTAGTTTGAAAACTTAACCAATGGCAGAAGTGGAGGAGTGGATTTCTCTTGGAGTCTGGGGTTCGTGGACCTCAGCATTCAGAGAGAGGGCATTCCACCTCGAGGAGTCTTGATACAACTTTCGGCAAAGTCGGATATAAAATTTACAACTATGGCCCTTCCGTAAAGTATTATAAGTAAAGTTCAAATTAAGTACTAATAAATTCAGTTGTATTCCGTAAGCTGGAGGGAATTGAATGACCACTAAGTGCAACGGTCAAAAGAGGTGTGTGATTGTAGTGAAAGGTTCTTCCTGCCCTGCCCGAGCCAGACCCGTATAAGACCCGGGATAGGAACACAGCTCTACCAATTACTGAACAGAACCCAGATACTCCCATCTTTACCTGCTCTCGCATACCAGCTCCAACTATCACAATTCTCCTCCCTCCCCACCTAACTTCTCGACATCCACGAGAAGAGGGAGTACGGCGATAAGTGGAGCGCGACGTAGGATAAAGGGAGGACGGCAACAGCGTGGCGCTCAACATAAAGGGCTCAAAGGAGTGAGCGGTTACACTATCACACTGCATGGCATCACATCCTAGTAGACCCTAATCTTTGGTCACTTCTGTGAGAATCCAAAATCTTACAATCACACAGCACATTCAGAGTTACAATAATTAAAGCTGTATGTGATGAATGACATGAAAGTGCGTAGTGAACTGTACCTGCATCTTAAGCCCTTGAACACTATACCTGGGACATCCCAGGTTACCACAGACTGCACCACATGGCGCTGCGTGAGATGTCCCAGAACAAATCTCTTTTTCAATTTTCTTCATGAGATCTACTGTGATCAGTGACAAAATATACATACCCTGGCATCTTGTGACAGATATTTGGAAGTATTTGTTTGTTTCTTCCAGGTCTAATGCATCAATGAGCCGAGAAATACTCAGCAGACAAAGGGCTGAACAGACTGAGTTAGGGAATGTACATGCATATGTAAAAGAAACCGTACCATACAACTCACCATTATAAGTGAGCTGGCAGTATCACACACGGACAAAAGTGTGTTTGTGAAGCTACTTGCTGGAGTCTTGCCAAAGTCCAGGATAACTTTATCATTTTCATCGCCAATATAAACCCCTCCTCTTGGGTAACAGTAGCTGCCACTTGGCAACTGATTGCTTTTCAGGAAATCATCCCAGTCTTTGTACACGCGGCAGTTGGAGTCCACAAATTTCTCAGGTCCTGCTTTTTTTGCATCCTGACAAAATATTGTCACAATTTCACATCATTATACAGTTTATTCAATGTGCAGGATTGCTGACAAGATAAATACTATTCACAATAAGTCATTACTGGTTGTGGTGCAAGTGTGGTTGGACTTCCAAACTCTTCCTATTCCAATTCTAATTATAATCTCCAGTCATGTATGGTATGTTACCATGAATTTGATTCAAAAATCATGTTCAAAAACACTGCATAAATATGAAGTGAGCATAAAAATTTATAACCTAATTGAAATGAGTTTTAGATAAATGGGGGGGATGGAATGATTTTGAGCATTAATGGGTATTAAGAACGAGAATTTATAAAAACAAGATGGCATTAAGAAAGAGACCAAAGCAGAATGAATCTGAAGAGGCTCAGCAGTGAAAAAGGAAGGCAGAAGTATTACAGGAATAATTTTATGGAGCATAAACTTACACAGAGGTAGGATAATTCAGCCAGCACTGTAACAATGCTACAGAGTGGATAACCACTGAACTTTCGGTCTGATTCCCAAAAGGGACAAAAAAATTTTCCTTCTCCATTGTGTCCAAGATGGCTCTGGGTTCAAACCCAGCCTCTTATCCAGTAAGTACTGGAGACAAAACAGTCAAAGCATAATGCTAACCATTCATCTCCATCTAGTGCCCTCTTATGTCTCGCTGGTGCAGTGTTTAATTAAGCACAGAGAAAACTTTATTCCTTACATTGTGTGATTAGACACTTCAGCAGTACTGACATGTTGTTCTTGGAGAACTACTCATGTTGACAATGACAGGTCATAATGAACACTACTCGTAATACAGTCAACATACTGTCATGTGTTGAGTGTGTGACACGTGACAAATAACATCACACCATATTGAATATAGTGAATTTATTCCACTCTCATATTTTTACACAATTCATAATCACACAAGTACATTATCAAGGTATGTTTTACATTTCATACAGATAACACAATGACAAAGATGAGGTTATTTTGAAAGTTTTTAAGGACACAATTTGACAGCAACTTTATTTCCAAACTAATGACTGCTAGGACTAAGAGCATTAGGTTTAAATTGCAAACAGACACTCAAAACCCTGTCTTATCAACTCTCTTATGTGATGTCTATCTAAAACATCTTGAGGGTGTCATACCTTGAGCAAAAGGTAAAGTTGTCCCTGGGTCTAACTACTTAAGCACTATGCCACAAAGGCATATGGGGGAGTGGATGTATAGGGCCATCTTTTCTTGACCTCTGCACTAGTTGGAGGTGAGTGGTCAGTTTCATGCCTTGGCCACTTTACCCATACATAAAAAGGCCCTGGTACCCATTTATTATGAGGCTGGGTGGGCCCAAGAACTGGTGTGAGTTATGTGGAGAAGAAAACATTCTTGCCCTTATTGGGACTCAAAACTGACCCCTCAGCCACTGACCTCACAGCCAGTCCCTGTACCAATTGCACTACTCCGGCTCCTTATGTTACACCTTGAGAAGGCAACTTTAAGTTAAACAAGATCTCTGCTATGGTACCTTTCACTCCTGTCACATATTAAAAACAGAATCTATAATTTTATAATCATGTTGTACACATTTATGCCACCATCTGAAGATTACAGCCTCAACAATATTTTACACATAGTACAAGGGCAAAAAGGTGAACCTGTCTCTGTGCTTAATTAATAAAGCACTATGCCATGAAGGCATATGCGGGAGTGGAGGTATAGCTCCACCATTCTTGACCTATGCACTAGTTGGAGGTGAGTGTTCACCTTCAGGCCCTGACCTCTTTACCTACAGGGAAAGAGCCCTCATTAAATATTAGGTAGGTGTCTGGGTGGGCCCCAGAACCAGTCTGGATGCTGCAAAGTATAGAAAAATCTCTTTCCCCTGCCAGGAATCAAACCATGGCTGTCAAACCTGTTACTATGCTGAGTTATCCCAGCTCTTTAGACACAGTGTAAAAAATAAATGACTAGTGCAAAGAAACATCCTTGAGGCACCTGTTTTAAGTCTTAGTGACTGAGGTTTTAAGCAGTTTCTTTTAGTCAAATGCCACCATAACAACTTGACATAGACCAGAACCACTTCCTTCCACATTCATAATGACTATTCATTCATCTTAATTTTTCTATCCCATTCAGTAAAAAATAACAATTTTCATTTCATGCATCCAGTTGTGTTATTATACAAAATCCTTTACTGGAGTCCGTCATACACAGCAACATAACAGTCAAGGTTAACATTAGCTTAGCTGCATGTTTCAGCTTTTAAAGCCATCATCAGGCAAAACACATGATTACTATATTCACATACTACTGAAATGCAATTGCGATGGTAAAGCTGAATACTTGATAACTCTTACATTATAAAATACATTAAATTATAAACTTATTATAAAATGAAAGTTATGGAATAAAATATGATTAAAAACTCTTCATGTGATATCGCATATCATGAAGCCAGTTGTTGCAATGATATGCAATATCACAAGAAGAGTTTTTAACCATATTTTATTCCATAACTTTCGTTTTATAATAAGTTTGTAATTTAGGAGTTATCAAGTACCCAGCTTTACTATCACAATGAATCTGCAGTTCAATAGTGTGTGAATATAGTAATCATGTGTTTTGCCTGATGATGGCTATAAAAGCCGAAACATGCAGCTAAGCTAATGTTAACCTTGACTGTTATGTTGCTGTGTACGACGGACTACAATAAAGGATTGTAAAAAATAATAACATTCACAGTTAAAATGCACCATCAAATAATGCACACATAAATCACCGAGATAAAATTTCAAAGTAGTGCATGCAGCAAACTAGAATTTCTCACCTTTGGGTCACAGCCTGGAATTCGGAACACAGGAAATGGAAACAGTTGGTCCTCCCTGTTCAGGAACACAAAGATTGTCGACACCAGCATTTCAGAGCCTTGGCACTCTGGTGAATCCTTGCTGTGCTTTTTGATTATAGCACTAACTTTGCGGATTTCTGTTAATTTCTCCTTTGGGTAACCTGGGCAATGAGTTATGTCTGTTTACAGTACATATAACAAGTTTTCTGATGTGAATATTGCTTTTGGATTTCAATATAGGTCCCTAAGTTATCAACCCTTTGCATACATATGTACACATTTTTTTTCCAAGCATTCTCAGTTCAAGCTTGAAGCACAGAGTTAATCTAAATAAAAAAAGGTACAGTTGTCCCTGTGCTTAACTAATTAAGCACTACACCAGGAAGATGTATGGGGGAATGGATGTAGAGACCCATATTTTCTTTACTTTGGCACTAGTTGGAGGTGAGTGGTCAGCTTCACGCCTCGGCCGCTTTAACCCCGAAGAAAGAGCCCCCAGTACCCATTGGCTAGGAGGCTGGGTGGGCCACCCTGCCAGTCTGGATGACATTGAGAAGGGAAAATTCTTGACCCTACTGGGACTTGAAATCCAAACCCTCAGTCGTTCGGCCTGCAGCCAGTCACTATAGCAACTGTGCTTGCTGGCTCTTGGTTAATCTAGATATTATTTCAAAATTAACTTCCTTCCTCATATACAACACAATGCACATGTATTACAAAGATAAAATTGTCAAACCTGTTTAGGGGAACAACAGGACTTCATTCTGAGAATCATATGCAGGTTGTGTGGGAAATCTTCACAGTGTCAGAACTTTAAAACAGCTGGCACATGCACTGGAGTTGATGGTTGTTGCTCAATTCAACAATGAGACAAAAACTGTACAAAAGTATCCACATCTACTCTCACAACTGTAACATAACACCAAGACATGCAGAATGCTGTCCTTGTATTACATAACATGTACATACAAAATCACTTTCTGTTCACCTATATTGAATAGTAAATTTGAAGGAATAAAGAGAGAAGCAGAGAGAGAGAAAGGACTGCAACAAGCAAATTCAAAGACTTTTCCATTCATTGGTGCTGATTTACTTGTCAATGATGAAGAGATGAGGGAGTCTATGAGTCCTGCACATATACTTACTGTGCTTTACAGGGCAAAACCTGTCCCGGTATTTTGTAGTACCAGCTAATATGTATTACAGTTTCTTTCCAAAGGAAAAGAAAAAGTATTTACCAAGAAACCATGTCTTACCATGTGCTCATGCACCAAGGATTCAAAAGAGGACAAACTTGGTGAATGCCTACTGAAGTTGCATATCTTTTTACCTGCACAGAAACAGTAGTTACTGAACATTTATTTGCAGTCCAATTACACTTAGCCTGTGGTCTACTGTGAACAGCCACAGCAACTGTGATACATCCAAACTGATCAAGAATTATTACCAATCTTCCACTGATGGCTACACAGATCACTGTCTTTCGGGTCGTGATGCCATGCAGTCTGATATAATGTTACCAACATTTTTGTAGAACCTACTACTGGCTGAGCTAAGTAACTTTAAAACTTACTGTCACTTCTCTTACTTCCTGCCATGTTACTGCTGCCAAAATCAGAAGTTTATTTGTTTCCTACGCCAATAACCCAAGGTTATGCTTTCAATCTTATCTTTAATGTGTTGGATTTTCAGTTCCATTTTGAAAATGTTAGGATTTTGATTTCATTTCTAAAAGCAAGTATTTAAAAACCTTCTCAGAGTAGGTTTTGGGCTTTATTTTTACAAACAAACTTCTAAGACTGACAGCCCCAAAAAGGTACATAACAGGGCGCTGAAGTTATTATGTCACCTGGATCACCTGTTAACACATAAATAGCTCTACTGCCTCTGTCTTCACATCAGGTGTTTATATCGCCCTTCTAAACAAGATTTCAACTGCCATAATTTCTTACCAAAAACACTACATGAAATAAAAATAAACATCACACAGCTGAGTTTAAAACATGTTCAATAACCTCAGATTTCACCTTCTACCATGAAGATGGGGGGCATGCGGTAGCGTAGTTGGTTGAGGCACTATGCTACAAGCCAGAAGGTCGCGGGATCGAATCCGATGAGGTCAATGGATTTTTTTCAGTTTACCTAATCCTTCCAGCTGCACAATGGTCCTGGGGTCAACTAAGCCTCTAACAGAAGTGAGTACCAGAAATATAATTGGGGGTGAAGGGCAGCCGGCATGTAAGGCTGACAACCTTACTGCCATCTATGAGCCGACTGTGTAGAAAATGTGGGAACCTCAACATCTCACAACACTATGGGCCTCCATGGCCTGTTACAGGAATACATTTACTTTCTTTTTTACTTACCATGAAGATGGAGGTAGCAGCTTCCTCTGGAACGCTAGTAATGTTCTACTGTACTGTGCAACAACACATCCCAGAAAGCCGGGTCCAGACTTGTTGCGTATCCCTGTATCGTATCTCTGTTTCGTATCGTCCGATGCAACGCGACAAAATTTTGCGTCCAGACTTGTTGCGTATCTCCACTCCACTCCATTCAGAGTATATAAACAGAGAATCACATACAGAAGAACGCACACTGCTGATGACTACACTCCAACTGTCTGGAGCTGATAAGCAAAGCGCGATGCAGCCGCCTATACGTCCAGACTGGCACCACTGCAACCTGAGTCGTCCCTTTGATGCGACGGGAAAAGACCGCCAAGCGAGCGAACAGCCCGTTGCGTATCATTTTCCAACGGAAGGATGATACGGGGTACCGTCCACACTGATACGATACGGGGATACGCAACAAGTCTGGACCCGGCTGAAGACAGTCATGTTCGGGCATTACCTGTAAAATCATTTTCACTTTCTGGAAGCTCATCTGGACGACCAAAGATGGCATACCCCAAGTTCCTTTCTAGCAATTTCTCCTCATCACACTTATAGCAGTCCCAATCTCTGTCCCCAAACTTCTCATACAAGCACTGTTGCTCTTCTTGAACTGCTTCCTCCCACGGCGTCTGTGGGGCAACTTCTGCCATTTTCTTTGCTTCATCTGACATCTTCCTTGCGGACACAACAAAACCACACCTGTTAACACCGACACATGTGTAAACCACTGAGCTCATACAGACAGGTAACTGACAAACAACATGAAAAACAAAATTGACCCTCCATTTCCCAATCTGCAGATTGGCTCTGTAATCCACATAGTCTCCTCTCAAACAGATGTATGAGATCTTTTTCTGGCAGTAAAACAGCCAGAGCATGACAATGACCACTCACCTCCATCTTGTGCAGAGGTCTAGGCCGTGTGGAGTATTCTTGCTACTGCAACCATACGCCTTCACCTAGATACAACTTTAGTTTTCAACATTGTTACCGTTAAGACTTCATGCAATTAAATGCATCAAGCTTTACATCCCCCTCCACCTACCCACACCCACACAAGTTTCGAGAGTAATTTGCTAAGGCACAGGAGGAACTTCACCTTCTCCTTTATTCATAAACAACGTGCCACTGCTTTCACACATTTTAGCACATTCTGTAGTACCATTTAATTACAAAGGATTTCAGACAGTGCACAGAGTCACACCACATGCCTCCAAATAGTAGTCCAGCACATTACCACTACAGTAACCTGTGCAATAAGTTTAATCTTCCCAGAAATACTTATTGGGTCAGTTATGGTGTGGGCTAGCACCTCCCGGACTCTTCTCGCTCACTCACGGAGCTGAGCCCTTCTTGAGAAGCCGCCAATTGTGCAGCTACTCAAGAACTTCCAAGCATTTTATGGAACTCGGAGGTTCATTACCATGTTCACAAGAGCCCTTCACTGGTACCTATTCTGAGCCACATCAATGCAGTCCGTAACGCCCTATGCTATCTCTTCAAGATCCATTTTAATATTATCCACCCACCTACGCCTTGGTCTTCCCAGTGGTCTCTGTCCTTCTGGCTTTCCCACCAATATCCTATATGCATTCCTCTCCTCCTTTGTTCGTGCTACATGCCCTGCCCATCTCATCCTCCGTGACTTCAGCATTCTAAGTATACACGGAGAAGAGTACAAGTTATGAAACTCCTCATTATGCAGTTTTCTCCAACCTCCTGTCACAGTAACATATACTTATTTATATACTATTTTAACTTATACTATTTTCTCTGTGTTTACTTCTAGACCAACCTCCTTACTTGCGTGGGATGTAGATGTATGAACAGACAACCACTTCTTGAACTGTTCTATACTATTTATTATAGTTGCACAAGATACACAGACGAACTTGAAGAACTGAAGACTAATAGCATAGTACCAACAGTGCTACTGCTTGCATCACCCACACCACACCTCGTAATATCAAGTCAAAGTCAAAGTCACACTGCAATATACGGTCAGTCAGTCAGTCAATCTTGGGGTCAAGCACAATCTGGGGCTCATTACCAGATATTTATTACTGTTTGACAGTTTAGGTCTTGCTACTGTGGGGCGACCTCTCTAACGAGAGGACAGGTCTGTCTTTTGTCAGAGCCATTGTCTATAGTAGTAAGTCATTTGGCATAACCGGGGCCCGGATTTTGATAACATGTCATCTTTTTTTCCTTGTATCCTATGTGATGCTCTTAAATTTATAAATCTCGGATATGAGCTGCTGGTTACAGAAATGTAAATTTTATAGGTAATTTTTTGTCATTTTTGACATTTTTAGGTTTAAGGTCATTTTTTCATTTTGGGGGTAATTTTTTGGTAAATTTTTGGACTTTTAAGAGTATTTCTTGTCATTTTTGGCCAATTTAGGGAATTTTTCTTCATATGTTTTCTGAAATGTGAATAATATGGAAGTGAAGTGTTCTTTCTCTTTCTCCTTTAGGTCATTTTTCTGGATTTTTTTGGTCATTTTTTAAATATTTTCAGGTCATCAAAATCCGGGCCCTGCATATTATTATTATTATTATTTATTAGTCCACCATATATCCATAAGGATTACAATTCCAGCAGATGTAGTTACCGTCATTAAGTATATGCAAATAGCTGTGCAATAGTGCACTTGTCAGCAAACATACATAACAAATTGTATAACATGCAAATAAAACAAATAAAAAATATACTAACAATCCAGAAAAGTTATAAAAGAAACAAGTACAATTCAGTATTTATGCTTAGAAGTAAAAATACAGTGATAATTAATACACTCAGCAAAGATACATGATCAACTGTGCAATTGGGCACTTGTCCAAATGCATTAAAAAAAAAATGAGATGTACAGACTGTTATTATGCTAGAAACAAATTACAACAATATACTCCATGGGGCACTTGTCAAACAGAGACAGGTACAGGTAAACATACCAAAAAGTTAAACTTCAACATCTGTGTTTCGAGAATTTGATAATTAAAATACTCTTTCAGTGAGTAGTAAGAACCAGCATACAAGAATCTCTTTAAGGCTGCCTCAAAAGATTTTTGATCATTAGGTAATTCTTTGAGTTTCGCAGGTAAGTGATTAAAGATCTTTATGCCTGAGTAATAAGCTCCCCTTTGAACTTTAGTCATAGAAAGACTTGGGGGAAATAAATTGTTCTGTCTAGTGCCGATACTATGAATTTCAGAATTCTTTAAGAACATGTGTCTATTATTTACAATGTATTGCATCATGGAATACACGTATTGAGAACACAAACGTAAAATTTTCATTTCCCAGAATGAATCTCTTTTCTTCAAGCCCTTCATTATTCTTATTACCCTTTTTTTTGTATCCTAAAAATTGTTATACTATATGGAAAATTACCCCAAAAAATAATATCATAAGTCATCATGGAGTGTATGTAAGCAAAGTAAAGCATCCTCAGACTGCTGTAGGACAAGATGGGTTTAGCTGCCCTCATTATAAAGCATGCTGAACTTAGTTTAGCAATGAGATAATATGATTTTTCCAAGTTAATTTGTTATCGATATATAAACCCAAAAATTTAATGCAGTTAGAATTAACTACTTGTTTATGCCTGAAACTAATGTAGTTGTCTAATTCGTCATGGTTCATTGTTGTAAACTGCAAATGGTAATTTTTTTTAAGTTCAGAGTTAACAAGTTAGATTTAAACCATTTATTAACCTCGTGGAATATTTTATTCATAATTGAGTTATAGCCGTTAGGTTCAGGATTAGATACAATTATGCTTGTATCATCGGAATATAAAAAGATGTTAGCCCCTTTAATGAAAACTTTAGTTATATCATTTATGTACAGAAGAAAAAAAAGCAGTCCAAGGATAGAACCTTGCGGCACACCAAATTTTACCTTCGCCCACCTGGACAAAGATCAATGAACAGAATCATTACTGTCTAGGTTCACCCTTTGATATCTTCCAGTAAGATAGGACTTAATTAAAGCACCAAATTTCCCAGTAAACGGCTGTTTACTCGCCATTGCTAAGCAATGATACTTGCATTGTCACTGTAACGTTTGCTTGAATGTGAGCAGTTCCCACAAAAGGAGCCAATTTTCTGTACAGCCAACACAAAATAAATACAGTCTTATATGCATGACAAGTGGTGATATGATCGCCAGTGACAATGGAAAACAGCAAGAAAATATGACACTGCATAAGAAATCTGTCCCCTCCAGCTCTTTTTCCTGCCTAAGGTGGTTTCCAAAAATTTAATGAAGCATTATTAACTCTAATATGGTACCCTATTATATTATATTAGATCACAATCAAAAAGGTAACACTAAATACAGTGATAAGAATCACAAAGTATCTAATGTAAACTATCTCACTGATAGTAATAGGAAACTAAACTTAGATTCTTTGTTATTATCTTACAATCTCTCCAGTACTGTTAACTTTCCCAAAGAATTCAAAATAACTCTAGGTCAGCAATAGATAATATATTCATTGATAACTTAAAAATAAGAGACTATACTGTAGGACCTTTTATAAATGCCTTGTCCGATCATGAGGCCCAACTCATAGAAATAAATAATATTAACCTTCAGCCCAGTAATCAACAATATAAAACAGTAAGGAAAATCAACAAGTATACAATGGCAGATTTTGTCACAAAATTAAGTAATGAATCTTGGAACACTGTATTTGACAGCAGTAATATTGATTCTAAATTTAATTGCTTTCTGAACACATACTCGAGGATCTTTTATTCAAGCTTTCCCTTAAAAATAGTAAAAAAATGACATTAAAAACAAAACCACCTGGATAACTGTTGGAATAAAAATTTCATGTAAACATTAAACACATCTATATTTGGCCAGTAGGGACAGTAATGATCCAAGACTAAAAAGTCACTACAAAATTTACTGTAAAATCTTGTCAAAAGTCATTAAAGAAGCCAAACAGAATAATTATAACAACCAAATTCTACAATAAAATTAAAACCACCTGGGATATTGTGAAAGTTGAATCGGGAAAGAAAACTGTTAATGAAGATGTACAAAGTTTGAATATTGAAGGAAAGTCTACTAGTGATCCACAAGCTATTGCGAGTGCATTTAATGAATATATCCTCTCATTAGTTGGGAAAACATATCTTAATAATAATAATAATAATAATAATCCAATATACTATCTGTCACATTCCTTTAATAGTTCATTTCCAAATATAAATCTCAAATTCTCAACAATAAAGAAAATTTAAAACATTATTAAATCCCTTAAGCCCAAAAATTCACATGGATATGATGAAATTTCTACCAATTTACTTAAAGCAAGCTCTGTTTACATCAGTTCACCGTTGAATCGTTTGTGTAATAAATCTTCATCATCAGGGATTTTTCCGCAACGTTTAAAATACGCTGTAGTGAAACCACTTTTTAAAAAAGGCGAGAGAAAATGCATTTCTAACTACAGACCAATATCTATACTGACTTCATTCTCAAAAGACTTTGAAAAAATTATATATAGCAGATTACTTGAACACTTAAATTCTAACAACATATTAGTCAAAGAACAGTTTGGATTTAAGAAAGACAAAACCACAGAAAAAGCAACCTATGAACTAACCAACGATATTTTAAATGCTTTCAATAACAGATTAATAGTGGGAGGGATTTTCTGTGATTTAGCAAAAGCTTTTGATTGTGTAAATCATGAAATTTTACTATCGAAATTAAATTTCTATGGAATAACTGGCAAAGCTAATGAATGGATCAAATCATACCTCAAAAATAGGTACCAAAGAGGGGAGATAAAAAGTAAAAATTCCAGTTCTAATGCATTTTCAAACTGGGGAATCATAAAACGTGGTGTTCCACAGGGATCAATTTTGGGCCCCTTGCTTTTTCTTCTCTACATAAATGATCTATCAAAAACCATCAATAATAAATCTAAACCAATTCTATTTGCAGATGACAGTAGTATAATATTTAAGAATTCTAAAATTGAAGACTTTAAAAATGATATAAATTTTGTATTTGAAGCTTTAAATAGATGGTTCGAAGCCAATAAACTCTCACTAAATTTTGATAAAACCCATTACATACCATTCTTAACTAAAAACAGCCACAATGATCTGGTCATAAGTTATGCCAACAAATTAATCTGTAAAGCACCTGATACAAAATTCCTTGGAATACATGTAGACAGTACACTGTCTTGGAAAATACATATAGAACAAACTATGCCTAAATTAAGTGCAGCTTGCTATGCAATGAGATCGATTAAGCCCTTTATGCCACAGGAAACACTGAAGATGGTTTACCATGCCTACTTTCATTCTATTATGAACTATGGACTAATATTCTGGGGGAACTCTTCACATAATGTAAAAATTTTTAAGATACAAAAGAATATAATTAGAATCATTACAGGATGTGGAAGTAGAGATTCATGTAGAGATTTATTTAAGAAATTAAAAATTCTACCTCTTCAATCACAATACATACTATCGCTTCTCTTATTTGTTGTGTACAACAAAAATAAATTTGAATTAAATTCCAATATCCATAACATGAATACTAGACAAAAATATAACTTCCATCTACCTTCATCAAACTTATCACTATATCAAAAAGGAGTCTACTTTTCTGGCATAAAAGTGTACAACAGTCTCCCACAAAGTATCAAAAACTTGAGTAATGATACTAAACATTTTAAATCAGAGCTAAAGAAATATCTGCATGCTCATTCCTTCTACTCTGTAGACGAATACTTCAATGTAAATAGAGAATAATGTAGAATTAAGCTATATTACTTTAAGATAAAATTACTTCTACCAGTAGGTATTATTTTGACTTGTTTTATATCCAGAGGTATTAACCTACTTAGGATCTACGGAATGCAAATAAATGCAATTCAGTTCAAAATCCTACTATTCTTTCCGCATTCGACGCAACCATATCACAGAATTCCGCCACGTCGCACACCTGAGAACCCTGAGAAGTCTCATACCGTCTGAGAGCTCTGAGGGCTCTGAGACATCTGACACCTCTGCAATGTTGCTCAAAATACAAGAATACAAGAAGACCACTGTTTGACTAATTCTACTGAAGTCAGTGTGGACCGGTGTGGATGTCTCGAAGGTCTCGAAGGTCTCGAATCATATACAGTTGCGATTATTGGATGTGTACGTCTTAAGGTACATGCAAAGTCGAATGTACTAAGTTAGAATCTTTCATTAAGTAAGTGATTGCTTCATTATGGAATCAGTGGTTTTTGCCATGCTTTTGTGATTCATAATATTCATTCCTAGGAGATACCTGGACTACGTATGTACTTCTTTATCTAATCACATGAATAACAACGCTTTACAAAAATATCGATCACAAAATTCTTTTTGCAAAGATTACAACAGTTCGGTTGTCTGTGACTACATATAGTAAAGATTTCTGACTCACACAAGTTGTGTGCATTTACTATTTATGATTGTCTTACCTCATAAACATAATTCCTGGTCGGTCACAACGACTAGATTCCTACACGTAGAATTTTAAATAAAACTCAGTAGGCATTTTCAGATATTCTGAATATGAATAACTTAATCTACAGCTCAATGGGGCTACTATTGCAATGTTCCCCTGTACCCACTACCCTGTCATGTCGAGATCTCATGTGATATTACCTAAATCATCATAATCTTTTCCAGTATTAGGTATTGAGACCTTTTACAGATGATACAAAATAGAATAATTTCATCGTTTCAGGGGTCTTCCAAGCTCTATTTTTCGTTCAATTGTTATTTTAAAATCAGTTTTGGAATCCGCCAGGGCTCATAAAGTCAGTGTGCTTTTTCAATCCCCCCCGGTTTTATTCTCTTTCCTGATACTGGACCTACTCAAACCTGTTACAAATATTGCTCTAAATTTTTGTTCCCTTTGAAGTCCGAAAGGACCTCCCTGCCTTTATTACATAGACTGTGTCTTCGTGTAACCAGCGAATCAGAAACCATTAAACATCTAGCACAGAAGTTATACAGAGTCTATATGAGCTGCCGTGGTCGATTTTAAAGTAAAATGTCTGTCAGAATATTAAATCAATCATCTAAGCGAAGGGTAAGTCGTGTAAGATGTATAAAATATAAGGCCCATCGCATTCCCTTTCACAAATGCAGTCATGATGACTGAACCGTAGCGTTATGAGCAAATACTTCTACTGATTTTAATTAATTTCGTTTTGAAATTTTATTTGTAATTCCATTAGTATGCTGATTGCTGCGGATAACTACAGCGTCCCGAATGTTGCGTGCGAGTGGCTAGGTTGCCTGCTTCGAATACAGGCCAGGATCGAAGCTAATCATACAAGGTTTTCGTGATTTCCACCAATCTCACCCGACAAAGCCTGGAATAATATCTTAAAATATACCACGATCGTTTCCTTCCACAGCTTTATCATTTTATTAGATGGTGTATGACGTATGAAGTTGAGTGAGAGTCGTTAAATAAACTGAGATAAAGAACATATATTTCAATTGATTTGACTTTAAACCTATTAACCAACAAAGCGTTTTCCCACAAAATTCGAAGCGGGAATATCGCAAATACGAAGCAAGAGCGATGGTCACTAATATCGACGTTCGGAAAATCGCAGTCGAAAAGTGAATATGGATGCTCATCTCTTTTTGCTTCTTTGTCTTTTCTCTACTTGCAGGAACTTTATTGGTTTCTGAGGCTGACGTTTCGTCTTATTTATATTTCCAGATTTAGGAACTGATGAGCTAATCTGAACTACGAGCAAAAATAACTGACCCGTCACTTAACAGCAACGGAGGGGCATTTCACGTCATACGAACGGTGGCTTCGTATCATAATCGACATTTTTACAGACGCGATCCTAAAATCCGCGTTAATAGTGTTCTTTAAATAAGCCCCGTCTAATATCAAGAAAGCATTAATATTTTTCTTGTGCGTTGTGAGAAATGGCTGTGAACTAGTTTGGTTTAACACGTGTTTTATAGGCATTCGAAGTAGTGAAGTTGAAAAGGTGAACCAGTAAGTAACCTCGGAATAGGGAAGCCAGGCAGTGTGTTAGGTTTAACCACCGAAAGATGTTTGAATTCTGTATGTGTCGTCATAAATGAACTTAATTATTATATAAATATTTCCCATAACGCCAAAGTTGATATTTCTTTCCATGGGACTTGGATAGGAATTCTAAGGAAACATAAATACAAACAGTGAAATTGAAGTGCGCAAATAAAATTCGACAAAGCGTGTGTAAAATGTCGAAATACAGAATCGTCTTCGTAAGACATGGTGAAAGTGTGTGGACATCCGAGAATTTGTTCTGTGGATGGGTTGACATAGGCCTGACAGACAAAGGTAAGTTGAAATTACCGCAATGTCGTTTTTAATGGAGCAGTATGTAAAATTAGAAAGTAGAGTTGACTGTGCCCCTGGGCACCCATCCAGAAGAGCATATAGTGGTAGTAAGTGCCTCGACCACTGTATTCCCAGACAGAAAGAGCCCCGGATTCACACTGGATAAGAGGATGGGCTGGTTGTGGGGTCGAAGGGCAATTCCCAACCCCTATCTTAACCTGCCATTCTGTATGCAGCTGGCGTAGGTACCTAGGCCTATTCTGACTCTGTTTCGAAATAACCGCGCGTCTTGAAGCTTGAAAATTGTATACTTAAGCAACCGTTGATCGCGTATTTGCGCAGCGAGCAAGTTCCCTCAAGTGATAACGATTTTGTCTTGTATAACGGACGGTGCTTGGTTCGAGCCTCGACCGGTGCACCGTTTGAAGAGTTTTCATACCATTCCTCAGCCCCTCTGAGATAACGCCCGTACAGTATCTCCAGTCAGGCCACGACCGCGCTCATCCACATCCTATCCACTTCGTCATTCGGCGCTTCAGGCTGTACCTAAAGCACTGACAGCACCACAAAATGAACTATAAAGAAAACACTATCCGCTTTGACAGAAAGAAAATCTTCGTTATATTAAAGGGCATACCAGTTGCTAATTGGCAGCATTTTCGAACACGAATCGTAAACTCTGAATGGCCTTTTCAAAACGTTAAAAGCACGTTAAACCCAACCCACATTATACTCCACTTGACTTCTCCAAGTGAATATTAGAATATCAGAAACCACAAAACTCGTATTTCCTTCAAGATTTGTTTTCTTCTTCTTTATCATATATTATTGTTATTATTATTATTATTATTATTATTACGGGATAGCTCAGTGTGTATAGCTACTGGCTACGGGCTGGACGTCCATGGTCTGATTCTCGGTAAGGGCGCGAATATTTCTCTAATGGACAATGTAGAGACCAGCTCTGGGCCCACCCAGCCTCTCCTTTCCAATGGGAACATAAGGTAAAGCGGTCGGGACGTGAAGCTGACCACTCACCTACATCTAGTGCCGAGGTCTTCATGGCGTGGTGATTAATTAATTAAGCACAGGGATTTTTTTTCCCTTGGCACTACAGCCCCAGTGGGCCTAGGCCTACCTCCATGAACTCCGTTCAAGGGACAACTTTACCTTTACCTTTTGTTATTATCATTATTAGTATCATTGCTTTATTATTATCCTTGTTATTATTATTAGTATCATCATCTTTTTATTATTATTATTATTATTATTATTATTATTATT